TGGGTAACGTATATTGCTACCAGGCACTCCATCAAGGCTGTCTACAAAGCAGATAGTCTCATCGGGGCCCAAGGACATAGACGCAACATCCACATAGAAGGAGGCAGAGTCGCCAGAAGAGATGGTCATTTCGGTTGCTTTCTGCTGGATCTCACAATCCTCCAGCCACTGCTCTGGTTCCGAATGTTACCAGAACTGGAGACTTAGTCTCTGGACACAGTCTGTTTCTTCTCACGGTTACGATTAGCATTAAGGAAATTTGCTCTGATACAACTAGCACTGCCAATATGGGGGATATCATTGGTTGATAAGGATAACACACTCACTATCAAAACTTGCACTGTCCACAGTAGAGCCAATGACATTGGACTGGGTAAAAGAGATGTTGTAGATATCTCTGGGGAGTGTCACAGTACAGCTGGTGTCAGAAACTGTCACATCAGAGCAGATGATCGGTCCATTGTTCAGCTCCACCTCCAAATCTCCTGGATACACCACTCCTTCATCAATGACAAACTCTGCGCTGTGGCATTGCTTTGAATAACAACTGCAAAGTGGTCCTGGTCATGTTTCTAAATCTTCCACTGCACAAGAAAATACTATTATTCAGTAATATAATTATTAATTAAAATTTTGGACAACATGACGAACCATATACTTCATCAAAAAAGCCAGTTACTTCAATTTACGTGAACAAGTCATCAAAGTGCAAAACATAAATGAAAAGCACTAAAGTGCAAACCTCGGCGAATTGCGCATGCACGGTACGGCTAATTGATGGGCTGGGCCTATTACGTTTACTCGCTAGTAGCTCACGGAGAGTCTGACACGGGCTAGCTACAGTAGTAGGTAGCATGCAGGAGTCGATACACAGCCTTCGTTGTGACTTCTTGTGCCTCCAAGGTACACAGAGCAAGCGGACCCGGTCGAGGTAAGCCTGTGCTAATTACCATAATGGTTTGTTCACTTGGTTTTCACGCCGTAACTTTAGAACACAGTAGTTTTACGCAAATCGCTTTTTAAAAAAATAAAGCCAGTGTAGCACTGAACCCGTTACTATCGCTCTTTCACCGATTTCTTGCGCGTGATGGCAGAAAACGTGGTAACAGACAGACAGACAGACTGACTGACTGACACACTTACGGAACAACTACCGTAACCCTGCGCCGAGGGTTAATAAACAAACCTCTTTAGAAGTAACCCATACACTGATGATTATTCCTCACTAGCCTTTCATGTGCTATAAACATAGTTCTTTCATGTCATTTTGTTTTAATTATGACACTTTTCAAGTGAATGGATGTTTATCAATATTCACCTTTGGTGGGGAGGCCCAGCTGTAGGCACACCACTCTAGCATCTTCTTCATCCCACAAATCGTCGCAAACCGTTCCCCACTCTCCCTCATTGCAGAACTCCACTCTTCCAGTGTTGTTTTTGTCAGCTCCAGCCAGTCTGATGTCCCCACCGTTTTTGCGCTAATATGATCTGGCATAAGTCCTGCTGTTTATACATCATTACCACGAATGGCACACTACATCTACCTCTTTGCAGATGAAATACTACTGTGATGACAGGAACCAAGATGCTCCACAACATCATGATACGGCCGAGTTGACACACGTGCAGTTTAATTGCCACGTGCACGCATGCGCAAACCAACTCCACGTGCATGCGCGCTCATCAGCTGCCACGCTTACGCTGCTTTTATCGTCATTTGCGGCTACGTAATGCCGCGCTTAGTGGCGTCACGTGTGTTGCGCGAGCTATCGAGCGTGTGTACGTACTGCGCAAGTTAGCCCACGTGTTAGCGGTAAAATTTGAGTAATACAAAAATGGGTTATAGAATTTTTGTGGACTATAGTCATCGATATCTCAACTTGTTGCTATTTCAATTTCAGAGGAATTGAGAGTGAGTTCAGCAGAGAAAGAAGGAGTGGTGAAGTCCATGTAGCCAGCCATCTCCTCCAGACTAGTAGAGATGAGGGTCACTAGCTCTGAGAAAGTTGGCCTCTCCTCTGGAAACTTGTTCCAACAGCTCCTCATTATACCATAGCTGAAAAGTAAAGATACGTAATAAAGACTAGTTGTTGACAATGACTAACACGTCCAGTGAGCAGGCAGCATTGAGAGGTTTGTCCAGTCTCTCTCCACTCTCCAGATATCTGATGAGAGAAAAGGGGTCCACTCCAGGGTAGGGGTTCTTCCCCAATGAGAACACCTCCCAACATGTCACTCCAAATGACCACTGCAGACAAACTATTGTAATGAGCACCCAAGAAGGTATAGGTGTTCTTACCACATCAGTTTTCTCAGAGAAGATTCCGTCATTCAAACTCTCCAGAGCCATCCATCTCACTGGCAGCTTCACTGCAGTCTCTCCGTCCTCTTCTTGTGTTGACATCTGTCTGAAGTAGTTTCTGGCATACACATCTTCCGAGAGACCAAAGTCAGCAACTTTTATCACATTGTACTGGTCAATCCTATAATAATATTATTAAGATGGAGCAAGCGCTTGAAGCACCCTCAAGAATTATCACCTACATGCAGTTTCTTGCTGCGAGATCACGATGCAGGAACTTATGTCTTGCAAGGTATGCCATCCCTTTTGCAATTTGAAGGCACAATGACAGCAGTTTCGAGCCTGTGTTCCCTATCTATAGTGGGGAGAAATCAAAGGGTATATTCATCGGCAAAAGTATACACCTTTCATACCTAGTAGCGCTATGCAGTTTCAACCTAAGCCTCATTGGTAGATAATGTAAGCAGATTGTCTTACCAATTCAATCATCGCTTCATTCTCTACTGTCAGCTGTGCTCTGTTTTTCCTCAAGTAGGACAGGAGACTTCCCTGGGCCATGAATGGCATGACAATGAAGGGGGTTTTACCCTTACTGATTGACACTCCCAGTAACTTCATAACGTTGGGATGGTCAAACTTAGACATAATCTTACTCTCCTCCACAAGATGTCTGAGATCACTGAAGCTAAACAGCCCTATGAAAATGTAGGCATTAGCTAATACTTAGTTTAATAGTTTTCCACTTTACCTTTCAATGTCTTCACTGCAACAACATGGTGCAAGTACCCCTTCCAGTTATTGAGTGTTCCTCGGTAAACTATACCAAACCCTCCTACAGCCACATAACATACTATAATGAATGCCACGAGTTTTGGTGAATCTTCGCAAGTTTTGCGCGTATTTAGGACGTTTAATTTTTTCGCTCGTCTTAATGTCTGTGGTGAAGCACTTAACCAGAACAATTCATACCTTCCCCGATAATGCTGACAAGATGGACGTGCTCTTTAGGGATGAGCAATTTGTCTTCCGACATCTGTCTGATAAATCCTGACAGTACCCTTCGAACCTGTGGCTCCCCTTCCTTCCTCTTGAGGCTTCCGAGTGCATCTAGTGAATCAAGACAAACATGATTGAGTAGCTACAAATAGAGCCTCACAAACTCACCGTCATTTTGTGTGTAACAATGCGTTGCTGATGGAGCCTCATCCACAACTATGTCAATTCTCTCTGTTTTCACTGACTTCCTACCATACGAAATGAATAGCAATCAAAAACTCACAGAAATCAAACTCAATCTTTCCACAAGAAGGGCTACAGAATGTTATTCACTCTTGCAAGTCTCAAACCATATGCTAACCTTCTGTGATATGACTGTGGCTTTGATATGAACATCCTCTTGGGTCTCTGACACCACTTCCGTAGAGAACAGAGTATAATGGGAGCAGCCACAAGTGCAGTCAAAACAACAAGTGCCGCTACACCGGTGCCAAGGTACAATGGACTCAGTATTGGAATATTAGTACTGGTGTCTTCATCTTCTTCATTGTTCAATAGTAGGGCTTACCGGCATAAATAGAGGAATAACAAAGCTAATGATTTCCATTACTCAGAATGAAGTAGAATAATAATAATAATGAAAAACGAGTTTTCGAAATAGATTAGAGACGCAGTTGGATTCTTATGCTCTACTGGATACAGAAGGGGTAATATAGACACCAAATGAACACTTACATGCGTTCAGACCAAGATTAGAGCAGCAGTGTGGCAACGGAGACAAATGCCTCCCTGGGAAGTCACACTCTATAAACTGGAGACCCTCAGAAGAAATAATTGTATTGTTATTCCCAAGCTTTTTCACTACTGATGCCCACTCTTCGGGGCAGAGTTGTTCGATGAGCCTACACTGTTCTGGACAGACAGTGACTGGAGGCTGGAAGTGAGTGACGTTTCCACTGGGAGGGAAATAAAAGTGGCAGAGGACACGTCTTGCTAACTCAGAGCACTCCACTAGGTCCTCCAGTAAGAACCGGCCAAACATGGCCATGTCTTCCACTAGTCTTGAGTAGATTCCTCTGCTCCTGCTTAGTGGTACATAGATGTAGTCGACACCCGGTTCGTAAAGATCATCGCATGGTGTGGGAGAACTTATTGGATAGAATGGAACACGTACTCCATACCTACTGAAGATTAGCTAATAGCAACCCTCCATTGACATTTTGTTTGAATTACCTGTGTATGCATGCTTCTGATGGTCCAGATTGAGTGTTTTTCTCACTACATTCTGGAGGGTTTTCCAGTGGCATAGCCTGCTCGAAATCACATATAACCTCTGCATCTGTATGGAGACCATGCTGTTTAGTAAAGGATAGTGCTCAGAAGTCAAAAACATGAAATACGTGGAGAATAGAAAGTATACACCTGAAATGCATATGACTCCTGCATCTTCATGGTGTTTACTGTCACAGTTGTGGTTTCCAACTCCAGTGTTTGTGCAGCGACAATGGATAGTCTGGCCAGCGAAGAGGTAAGCGCGTAAGTGCGTGCTGGCACGCACACCAGCGGAAGTGCGAGAAGCCCTGTAACTAGCGAACTGCTATAATATATAAACGGAAAACGGACCAATACATGCGTTTCACCGTAGTTTCGTGCGGAGAAAGAGGCGGAGACGCTATATAAAAGGGTCCGCTGTGCGAAATGAAATCGTGGAACTTCTTGTTTGTCACTGGAGCATTGCTCAATCTAAAAGGAGGTAAAATAATGTAAATTTTGTTGCGAGTCAGGGGTTTACGTGTGGGGATATTGAGTCGGCTGTCTGTTGGACATTGTCAGAGTAAAGAACGCAGAAGAAAGCCCAGCCCATGTTTCACTGTGTAGGTAGGTAGCCAGCCAATTGCTAAATATTCTAGAAAACCAGAGTTATGTTCGAACTACAGTTAGTTCACATGCTTTCCAAAAGGTGACAGTAGCTAATGCTCTGTGAGCTCATTGTAAACGCTTCGGTTGTGAAAAGAAGTGTCACGCAGTTGAAAAGAAAACTGTTAGTCAGTTTGTCTTCTAGGCTTGGACATGTTAATTAATTTAGCAACCTAGAGTTGCGTCCTTGGAAAGCTTTAACATTCCACTTTAGAGGTTCTTGGCTGCACAACTGGAGATGTCAGACTGGCTGGAACTGATCAGAACTATACAGGAAGAGTGGAGTTCTGTAATGAGGGAAAGTGGGGGACAGTTTGCGATGACTCTTGGGATGATGAGGATGCTAGAGTAGTGTGCAGACAGCTGGGCCTCCCCACCAAAGGTGACTTTGTTCAACAAGAGTATATAAAATACAGAACCAATAGCTCGTGGTATTCTTTGAAAGGAAACTAGCCATAGCTGCAAAGCTTACTTTTTTGTAAGGCTTTCTCACAAAATGACTTCCTTTCTTCTTGACTCTGTTTGCCAACAGTTGTGAAAGCACTGCAAGGGTTTGGAGGTGGGTCGGGAGAGGTGTGGATCGACAATGTTGGCTGTCGTGGCAGCGAACAGAGGCTGACGGACTGCACACACAATGGATTTGGAAACCACAATTGTAACAGTAAACACCATGAAGATGCAGGCGTCATATGCATTTCAGGTGTACTTCTATTCACCACATACTGCATGTTCTCAATGACTTTTGAGTACTATCCTTTACTATACAGCATGGTCTCCATACAGATGAAGAGGTTATATGTGATTTCGAGCAGGCTATGCCACTGGAAAACCCTCCAGAATGTAGTGAGAAAAACACTCAATCTGGACCATCAGAAGCATGCATACACAGGTATAATTCAAACAAATGTCAATTGAGGGTTGCTATTAGCTAATCTTCAATAGGTATGGAGTACGTGTTCCATTCTATCCAATAAGTTCTCCCACACCATGCGATGATCTTTATGAACCGGGTGTGGACTACATCTATGTACCACTAAGCAGGAGCAAAGGAATCTACTCAAGACTAGTGGAAGACATAGCCATGTTTGGCCATTTCCTACTGGAGGACCTAGTGGAGTGCTATGAGATAGCAAGACGTGTCCTCTGCCACTTTTACTTCCCTCCCAGTGGAAACATCACTCACTTCCAGCCTCCAGTCACTGTCTGTCCAGAACAGTGTAGACTCATCGAACAACTCTGCCCCGAAGAGTGGACATCAGTAGTGAAAAGGTTTGGGGATAACAATGCAATTATTTCTTCTGAGGGTCTCCAATTGATAGAGTGTGACTTCCCAGGGAGGCATTTGTCTCCGTTGCCACACTGCTGCTCTGATCTTGGTCTGAACGCATGTAAGTGTTTCTAATTTACTCTTTGGTGTGTGTATATATAGATACCTCTTCTGTATCCAGTGTAATATGAAAAATGGGGTTTAGAAATAGATTAGAAATGCATGTTCAATTATTATGCTCTAATGGAAATATTTAGCTATCATTTGTTGCCTGCAAGCTCTACTATTGGAGAAGAATGAAGATGAGGATACCAGTGCTAAACTGAGTCCATTGTACCTTGGCACCGGTGCAGCGGCACTTGTTGTTTTGACTGCACTTGTGGCTGCTCCCATTATACTATGTTCTCTACGGAAGTGGTGTCAGAGACCCAAGAGGATGGTCATATCAAAGCCACAGTCCTATCACGGAAGGTTAGCATATAGTTTGACACTTGCAAAAGTGAATAACATACTGTACCCCTTCTTGTGGACAGATGAGTTTGATTCTCCCAAAATTTTCTTCCTTGTCCTATTCATTTCGTATATATGGTAGGAGGTCAGTGAAAACAGAGAGAATTGACATAGTTGTGGATGAGGCTCCATCAGTAACACATTGTTACACACAAAATGACGGTGAGTTTGTGAGGCTCTATTTGTAGCTACTCAATCATGCTTGTCTTGATTCACTAGATGCACTCGGAAGCTTCAAGAGGAAGGAAGGGGAGCCACAGGTTCGAAGGGTAATGTCAGGATTTATCAGACAGATGTCAGAAGACAAATTGCTCATCCCTAAAGAGCACGTCCATCTTGTCAGCATTGTCGGGCAAGGTCCGAATTGTTCTGGTTAAGTGTTTCACCACAGACATTAAGACGAGCGAAAAAATTAAACATCCTTCTAAATACGCGCAAAAACTCACGCACACTAACCAAAAACTCGTGGCATTCATTATAATTATTATGTTATGTGACTGTAGGAGAGTTTGGTATAGTTTACCGAGGAACACTCAATAACTGGAAGGGGTACTTCCACCATGTTGTTGCAGTGAAGACATTGAAAGGTAAAGTGGAAAACTATTAAACTAAGTCTTAATGCCTACATTTTCATAGGGCTGTTTAGCTTCAGTGATCTCAGATATCTTGTGGAGGAGAGTAAGATTATGTCTAAGTTTGACCATCCCAACGTTATGAAGTTACTGGGAGTGTCAATCAGTAAGGGTAAAACCCCCTTCATTGTCATGCCATTCATGGCCCAGGGAAGTCTCCTGTCCTACTTGAGGAAAAACAGAGCACAGCTGACAGTAGAGAATGAAGACATGATTGAATTGGTAAGACTGCTCACATTTAGCTACCACTGAGGCTCATGTTGAAACACTGTAGCACTTTTGCCGATGAATACCTTTTAATTTTCCTCACTATAGATAGGGAACACAGGCTCGAAACTGCTGTCATTGTGCCTTCAAATTGCAAAAGGGATGGCGTACCTTGCAAGCCATAAATTCCTGCATCGTGATCTCGCAGCAAGAAACTGCATGTAGGTGATAATTCTTGAGGGTGCTTCAAGCGCTTGCTCCATCTTCATAATATTATAGGATTGACCAGTACAATGTGATAAAAGTTGCTGACTTTGGTCTCTCGGAAGATGTGTATGCCAGAAACTACTTTAGACAATTGTCAACACAAGAAGAGGATGGAGAGACTCCAGTGAAGCTGCCAGTGAGATGGATGGCTCTGGAGAGTCTGAATGACGGAATCTTCTCTGAGAAAACTGATGTGGTAAGAACACCTATACCTTTCTTGGGTGCTCATTACAATAGTTTGTCTGCAGTGGTCATTTGGAGTTACATGTTGGGAGGTGTTCTCATTGGGGAAGAACCCCTACCCTGGAGTGGACCCCTTTTCTCTCATCAGATATCAGGAGAGTGGAGAGAGACTGGACAAACCTCTCAATGCTGCCTGCTCACTGGACGTGTTAGTCATTGTCAACAACTAGTCTTTATTAGGTATCTTTACTTTTCAGCTATGGTATAATGAGGAGCTGTTGGAACAAGTTTCCAGAGGAGAGGCCAACTTTCTCAGAGCTAGTGACCCTCATCTCTACTAGTCTGGAGGAGATGGCTGGCTATATGGACTTCACCACTCCTTCTTTCTCTGCTGAACTCACTCTCAATTCCTCTGAAATGGAAATAGCAACAAGTTGAGATATCGATGACTATAGTCCACAAAAATTCTATAACCCATTTTTGTATTACTCAAATTTTACTGCTAACACGTGGGCTAACTTGCGCAGTACGTACACACGCTCGATAGCTCGCGCAACACACGTGACGCCACTAAGCGCGGCATTACGTAGCCGCAAATGACGATAAGCAGCGTAAGCGTTGGCAGCTGATGAGCGCGCATGCACGTGGAGTTGGTTTGCGCATGCGTGCACGTGGCAATTAAACTGCACGTGTGTCAACTCGGCCGTATCATGATGTTGTGGAGCATCTTGGTTCCTGTCATCGCAGTAGTATTTCATCTGCAAAGAGGTAGATGTAGTGTGCCATTCGTGGTAATGATGTATAAACAGCAGGACTTATGCCAGATCATATTAGCGCAAAACGGTGGGGACTACAGACTGGCTGGAGCTGACAAAAACAACACTGGAAGAGTGGAGTTCTGCAATGAGGGAGAGTGGGGAACGGTTTGCGACGATTTGTGAGATGAAGAAGATGCTAGAGTGGTGTGCCTACAGCTGGGCCTCCCCACCAAAGGTGAATATTGATAAACATCCATTCACTTGAAAAGTGTCATAATTAAAACAAAATGACATGAAAGAACTATGTTTATAGCACATGAAAGGCTAGTGAGGAATAATCATCAGTGTATGGGTTACTTCTAAAGAGGTTTGTTTATTAACCCTCGGCGCAGGGTTACGGTAGTTGTTCCGTAAGTGTGTCAGTCAGTCAGTCTGTCTGTCTGTCTGTTTACCCACGTTTTCTGCCATCACGCGCAAGAAATCGGTGAAAGAGCGATAGTAACGGGTTCAGTGCTACACTGGCTTTATTTTTTTTAAAAGCGATTTGCGTAAAACTACTGTGTTCTAAAGTTACGGCGTGAAAACCAAGTGAACAAACCATTATGGTAATTAGCACAGGCTTACCTCGACCGGGTCCGCTTGCTCTGTGTACCTTGGAGGCACAAGAAGTCACAACGAAGGCTGTGTATCGACTCCTGCATGCTACCTACTACTGTAGTTAGCCCGTGTCAGACTCTCCGTGAGCTACTAGCGAGTAAACGTATACTAATATAATAGGCCCAGCCCATCAATTAGCCGTACCGTGCATGCGCAATTCGCCGAGGTTTGCACTTTAGTGCTTTTCATTTATGTTTTGCACTTTGATGACTTGTTCACGTAAATTGAAGTAACTGGCTTTTTTGATGAAGTATATGGTTCGTCATGTTGTCCAAAATTTTAATTCATAATTATATTACTGAATAATAGTATTTTCTTGTGCAGTGGAAGATTTAGAAACATGACCAGGACCACTTTGCAGTTGTTATTCAAAGCAATGCCACAGCGCAGAGTTTGTCATTGATGAAGGAGTGGTGTATCCAGGAGATTTGGAGGTGGAGCTGAACAATGGACCGATCATCTGCTCTGATGTGACAGTTTCTGACACCAGCTGTACTGTGACACTCCCCAGAGATATCTACAACATCTCTTTTACCCAGTCCAATGTCATTGGCTCTACTGTGGACAGTGCAAGTTTTGATAGTGAGTGTGTTATCCTTATCAACCAATGATATCCCCCATATTGGCAGTGCTAGTTGGATCAGAGCAAATTTCCTTAATGCTAATCGTAACCGTGAGAAGAAACAGACTGTGTCCAGAGACTAAGTCTCCAGTTCTGGTAACATTCGGAACCAGAGCAGTGGCTGGAGGAGTGTGAGATCCAGCAGAAAGCAACCGAAATGACCATCTCTTCTGGCGACTCTGCCTCCTTCTATGTGGATGTTGCGTCTATGTCCTTGGGCCCCGATGAGACTATCTGCTTTGTAGACAGCCTTGATGGAGTGCCTGGTAGCAATATACGTTACCCAGAAAATATGTGTTTTGATTCACAAAGCTTCTTTCCCACAGTGATATCTGGCACTAGTTCAAGGAATGCCTCCACAGCCATCACTACTAGTTGTAGTAGCGATGAAAATGGCTTCTCAGTTGATGCTGTTGCAGGTATTTCAGTAACCCTGACTCTACTGGTGGTCCTACCAGTGGGTGTGCTGCTGGGCTACTGTCGAAAGTGGTCTCTCGCAAAGTCTCGAAGCTACACATCAGCTACTGGTGACGGAAAGAAAGAGACACGGACAACTTCAATGGTTTATGAAGAGCCTGCAGCACCTGTTTTTTCTCTGACTCAGAACCGAGCATATGGACAGGTTGCACCTTCTCAGAGGACAAGCTAAATTCAGCAATGGTTTATCACTGCATTTCAGCACAGCGGTGTGAGACATACAGGTTTGCTTTTGTTGTTTAACTGTACAACTGTTAGACTGATTGACTTGTAATTAATAGCGATATTTCAGGGTTGTATACTACAGATCATGGCTTGTTTTTTTACTCCTTATTTATGCAATGGTTACTGTCTACAAGTAAGTATACCCAAACAAGCGTTTATTCCGTGTGTATCTTGAAGTCAGCATGACTCTCTGAAGGTAAGTGCACAAACTGGTCGAGGGCCTAGCTCCCAGAGTCCAACCTACAACTTGATGAAACCCATTGTTCTGCTGAAGAACCACTGAAAAGTCCAGAATATTATGCTATATATTTTAGTGCCGGCCTTTCCTCAACTTCTGTGGAAATTGCGCTAACCATGGTGGCTTGTGCTGGCCTTGATGACAGGAGCCATTGATATGTATGGGTGCTTCTAAAGAGGTTGTTTATTTATCTTTTGCACTTTGATGACTTGTTCGCCTGATAAATTGAAGTAACTGCCTGCTTTTGATTGAAGTATACAGGTTTGCTTCCAACAGGCCGAAATAAACTATTACGATGAGGCACTTCTTCTGGTCATGTTGTCCGAGTGTTTTAATTCATATACTACTGAATATAATATGTCTTGTTCAGTGGAAATTTGGAAAACATGACCAGGACCAATTTGCAGTTGTTATTCAAAGCAATGCCACAGCGCAGAGTTTTGGGTTTGACATTGCCTTGTGTTGGCGCAGACTTGAGCCCAGCTTGCTTAGCTGATAGCATGCGCAAAATAATAGTTTCGTGGGCTTGAGTCCACATATAGGCACCTCTTTTTCTTTTGAAAAAGTGTTGTCCTAAGTGTTGTAGAAGTCTTTGCTATATATGCACTGCCTTTAGCTTCTTTCCATGATGTTCTTCTGATATGCCCATTGCTGAGTAAACGGTCATGTTCACGTATGCGCATCACCCAGTGTAACAGCGCTGTCATCATGCAACTCAGACGCTTTAGCTCACTTTGCTCGAATACTTAATTGAATGCACATGATGTTGTAATTATTATACACACATGCACTATGAACTGTTCTACTCTGTTCATATAAACCTGAAGACGCGTATGAGCTTCTTTGTACCACAGAAGCCCTAGAAATCAAAGGCACCGCACGCAGTGTATGCGCACTAAGACAACTCATTAGTATGCATGCCATGGTGTATGGTGTGCTGACTCAGCCATACACTCACATGTGGTGTATGAGCTCTCATACACCATGGCATGCATACTAATAGTTGTCTTAGTGCGCATTCCTGTGGTACAAATTGGTTACACTACACCCACTCCAAGGTTTAGTGCATATATAGATTACACTATGCCCACGAGACGGTTTAGTGGACATACACTACGAGTGCGCAGCACGAGTAGTGTATGCACTAAACCGTCGAGTGGGTGTAGTGTAACCAATTTGTCCACGGAATGCGCACTAAGACAACTTATTAGTATGCATGCCATGGTTTATGAGAGCTCATACACCACATGTGAGTGTATGGCTGAGTCAGCACACCATACACCATGGCATGCAACTAATGAGTTGTCTTAGTGCGCATACACTGCGTGCGGTGCCTTTGATTTCTAGGCCTTCTGTGGTACAAACACTACTCGTGCTGCGCACTCGTAGTGTATGTCCACTAAACCGTCTCGTGGGCATAGTGTAACCTATAATTGTAACATGGATAGCTAGATAATGACCCGTGAGTTTTATATCTTGTGTGTTTTAAAGGCTAGCTATAATATATGTGTTTGCTGCCGAGTTTGGAGCCGTGCATCACGTGAGATTTGACCCGTGCCATCTATAATTATATAGAGTCTACCAACGCTCTAAATATACACCAACTGGAATATTATTGCACGGATTCTGCCATTGATCATTATAATTATTATTGCACAAAATATTTATAAAATGGCAAGCATACCTATTAGCTAACTGTCACCTGGAAACATAAGTGGTTGTACAAGTGTATGGCTACTAGTGGTCCTATTATATGCATTCATCACTAGATGTCTAACTCTCACAAACGTCACGAATCCTCCGTACCCAATCCAATATACCAGAGGAATAGAAAATGGTACAATTAGCATCGCTATGCTCTCCTTTTTCTGAAACGGTGCTTCAACATAGGCAATGAAAGATGAAACTGCTCCTGCAAAGCACAAGCCAACTGAGAGGATGAGGATTGTGTCCACCGTGTTGTAAACTTTAGACTTGTAGGGCTGTACCACTGCCACCAGCATCCCTATGAGTATGCACACAAATGCAGTCCACCCTAGTACAACTGTGTTTTTGGCAATCAAAAAGCAACTCGCCAGGAGAAGCAAAGCAAATTGGTAAACAACTGAAAAGTAGCGGCGGTTTCTTGTATTGTTTGTCCCGTCTTTATAACAAGCCATGATGTTGTCCATGAAGGGGTACAGAAGTTGTAGAAGAGACCTAGGGATTATGTTGAGAAGTATCTGGGCTCTTGGAAAGGAGTAGACTAGCAGCAAAAACAGAGGTAAAATAGCCCCCAATACTGCACCAACTATAGCCATAACAAAGTAAACAATGTGTTCTTTAGAAACTGGCTCTGTACTTCCTTGAAAGTACAAATGCGGTGCTGTTGTGCTGCTGTTACTGTCCCAAACCTTAGTGGAGGCTAACATGTCAACTGTTGTGCTTAGAAACTTAACGAATGACAAACTGAAGAATGTCCCAAAGGCATCTACCAGTGAAGTTCGGATGTCTAGTCGATGTCTGAAGCGAACACAGCAGTGATGGAGCAGTCGTCCCCAACAGAACCATGGGGAAAAAGTTGCGACTGTACAACTCCACCATTGCATACATCACAACTATCACTACCAGAGGGTATGCAGCTATGATGTAATCCAACGACAGCACTTGTAATGTTGTTAAACTTGGGTGCAAACAAAGTGACTTGTAGACCGAGCGAAAGAAATCCAAATTCCACACTCCGTACACTGACCCAAATATCTGTATATACGGAGATATTCCAATATCTGGCTGAAGTTCTTCAGCTGCAATCAAAGTGCGCATAATAAGATTACTCGACAAGATTTGACAGACCAATATCCAGCCATGCAGTGGAGCAGAGTTAATACTAATTGTAAAAACCACAATCACAGCGAGGAAAACTGTCAGTGGACCATAAGCCACAAGAATATACCGTGGAATAGTAGTCCAGAGAGATTCATTGCCACATTTGGTACATTTGAAGCTGAAAGAATAGGCCGGAACTCCATAACCTTCTTTGCATTTGCCACATAGAACACCTTCACGATTGAAAGGTGAACATTGCCGATTTTGCATGGGAAGTCTGACATGATTGTACACTGTCATTGGCTTGACATTGATGATATCAATACAGCTGTAAGGACACTGTCCAATCACCAAAGAACATGAACCAGATGATGAACACGGGCCTGATGTGAGGCAGTAGCAACGCAGAACACTAAAAGAGGTACACTTCTCAACCGGTATGATGATGGCATTGTTCAAGAGCACATCCCAAGTTTTTGGAAAATGGCAAAAGCTCGCATTTCCACTTGAATAACCGTCTGGAATGACAATTGGGTTCTTACTAGATGACGAATCAATCTTTTTGAGGGCAGCTCCATCAACACTTGTCAAAATCAGGGAGAGTAAAAGTACTTTTTATACTTTCTCATGTTGGAAATAGCTAAATCCTTTTCCCTATAGTTTCTGCTAGAACTTTTCAACTGCTGGTGGTTTATAAAGTAATGAAAAAAGCAGAATTATCTCTGGGACTGCGTTTATTCTTGGGAGACATCCAAGAAACATAAAACGACTACACACTGGGAATAGTAACAGTTTCAATGCTAGGTGGAATATGTGTGGGAATGTTTTCAGTAGAGGACACGACTGCAGTAGACAAATAAGGTGTGGTCAGATCCAGGTAGCCACCCATGACCTCCAGACTTTCACAAATACTCTTTGCCAGCTCAGAGAAAGTTGGCCGCTTCTCAGGTGCAACTTTCCAGCATTCTTGTACTATAGCATAGCTATAATTATAAAGAGGTGTGTACATAAAAATTGTTTCAGACTGGTTGGAAAAACACATGTTTTGTGCATCAATTAAGATAAAATGTGCATTATGATAAATTGTACTTACATATGCTCAGAGCAGGCTGTGTTATTAGGTTTTTCGAGTCTCTCTCCTCTTTCCAGGTATTGTACAATAGAGTGTGGGTCCATTCCTGGATAAGGTGTCTTTCCCAATGTGAACACCTCCCAACATGTAACTCCAAATGACCACTGTGGAAAAAATGCATCTGAAATACTATATAAATGAAAAGCACTAAAATGCAAACCCTCAGCAAACTGCGCATGCGCGGTATCACTAATGGGCTTTTCTTTTCTTTACTCGTTGTATCCCGCTAGTAGCACGCGGAGAGTCTGGCACGGGCTAGCTACAGTAGTAGATTTCATGCGGGAGTTGATACATGCCCTTCGTTGTGACTTCTTGTGCCTTCAAGAGGCACAGAGCGCGGACGCGGTCGAGGTAAGCCTGTGCTAATTACCATATTGGCTTGTTCACCTGGTTTTCACGCCATAACTTTAGAACGCAGTAGTTTTACGAAAATCGCCTTTTTTAAAATCAACCCAGTGTAGCACTGAACCCGATCATATCGCTATTTACCTTATTTCGTGCGCGCGGTGGAAGAAAACGTGGTAACAGGCAGACTGACAGACACACTTACGGAACAACTGCGCGCCAAGGGTTAACTATAGTGGAGGCATAATGTACACATTTTGTGAATGCACAAAAGTACTGCTAATGGCACACTAATGCATGGTGGGTTACCCGTCTGTCACACTCTCATTGGCTAACTGCTAATGCAGGAGCCAGTATACTCCCTCTGGTGCATCCACGGTCTTTTAACTGACCACAGCAGCTAACCCAGTGCTAATTTTAAAATGTTTTTTGCCGCCTTGTTCTCATAACCTAGGAAGACCGTCACACACGACACAAGTCGAACCATAACTTCAGCTGCGAATATTCACAGAGGGCTTTTACTACTGCACCTCAGAACGAGGTGTTCTTACCACATCAGTTTTCTCAGAGAAGACTCCATCATTCAGACTCTCCAGAGCCATCCATCTCACTGGCAGCTTCACTGGAGTCTCCCCATCCTCCTCTCGTCTTGACAATTGTCTGAAGTAGTTTCTGGAATAAATGTGCTCAGTTAGGCCAAAGTCAGACACTTTGATGACAAAGTGTTCGTCAATCCTACATAAAGACATAATATATTGATTGCAGTGAATATGGTTGGAACGATTATGGAAATCCCTTGATATGTATTGTCATAATTTTGATGCCTTTGAAATTCCCCTGGCAAAGGTGCGAGGTTACTCACATGCAATTCCTGGCAGCAAGATCTCGATGAACAAACTTAAGTGATGCTAGATATTCCATTCCACGACATATCTGCAGACACATTGACCAAAGCTTTTTACCAACCTCGTTCACCTGTGAAAGATACCACAATTGTATGGCCGGAAATTTGAGAATTGCACAAGAATGCACTGTAGAACACTCTTACAATGTCAATATCATCATTAGTGTTGAGAATGGTAAAGTCAGCCCTGTTCTTTCTGAGGTAGGAGAGTAGGCTGCCATAAATCATGAAAGGCATCACAATGTAGACAGAAGGCCAGTTGTGTGGTGAGACTCCAATCAGTTTCATCACGTTCATGTGGTTAAATTTTATCATAACCAAACTCTCTTCTATTAGCCTCTTCTGCCCCACGGGACTGAATACTGTAAAAAAAGAGAGAGAAGGTGGATTTTTTTAGAAAGGAGAGCCGTGATCGTCTAGAGGTTAGGACATTGTGTTGTGGCCGCAATAACCCAGGTTCGAATCCTGGTCACGGCAGCTTTTTACCTCTATACTTTCACCCACCTTATATTCGCTAATGGATTCCCTTTCGAGTTTGTGCTTAATCTTCTCAAAATGCATTAACCTTTTAATGTTTTGGCTGCCACAGTCTGCTCATAATTTCCTCGCCAACCGTTCAGAGTAGCCTTGTAGACAACACCAAATTCCCCTAAAAATATATTCTTATTTTGGTAGAAACGTAGCAGAAGGAAGAGTCCTAACCTTGTCCAACTGTGCCACTGAGGTTGATCGTGTGTTTTGGAATGAGCAAACCTTCCAACGTCAACTGGCGAATGTAAGTTGATGGAACTCTCGACAGATTTATATCAGGACGAGGTAGGTACATGGGACCTACAGATTAGTCTGAGCTGCTGTCCACTCCCACATAATATTATGAGTAATACCATACTTGTTTGTTCAGTCATGTTATCATAGCGATTTGGTCTTATGTTCTGTGGTGTGCTGCCGTCCAAAGATTCCAAGCTGTGCCTCATTTGGAATTGGGGCATCAAATCATGTTGCCAAAATAATATTAAACTACCTAGTTTCCAGGTGAGGGGTTGGGAAATGGGATTTGCTCTTCATCTTTAAGACAAAGACTAGTGTGGTTACGATTGCAAGAGTTATGATTATTGCTCCTGCTGGAATGGCAGCAAAAATTGCACCATTTGTCTCATTATTAGCACTGGTGGTATTAGCTGTTGGTATCACTGTAGAGTAAGAGAACCAAAACATAGCTACCACAAAGAGGGCAATATAGCTATGTACATTATAGCGAACCTACAGATTCCAAGGGGGTACAACTGTATGGGAGTGGACTCAAGGGTTTTCCAAGGTCTTCACAGTCCATAACGTCAATCCCCTCCTCAATAAGGAATGGATTCTGTTGAAACGCAGTGATCGCAATATCCCAATCTTCCCCACAGGTCTCCTGCAATATTTGACATGTCTCCCTACAATTTGACGTAGGTAGTTCAAACACTGAAGAGTTTCCACATGGAGGGAGGTAGAAATGGCAGATTGCTTGTCTTGCAACATCATCGCATTTTGCTAGGGTACCGAGAACTAGAAAACCAAAGCTAACCATGTATTTCATAACTTTGGAATATTGGCCGTGGGTTCTAGTATTAGGGACATATATGTAATCAACTCCAGGAGTGTAGAATTCGTCACAGATAGATTCTGTTTCATGTTTCCGAAATGGCACACAGTGTCCATACCTGCAATTGAAGTACCAAGTTTTTGTGCAGACACATTCATGGGAATAAGTATACAGTACCTCTGAAGGCAGGTTCTTGAGACTGGATAAGTGAGAGTTGGCTCACCAGATGACGAGTGATTAAACACACATTCACTTTCATCTATTGTGCAATAAGAGATACATGTGCCTGAGATCATTTCAGGTGCTCATTCTAAAGCCTTCAAAAGCGAGTGCCAAGCGTCTGTGCCAATGTTTATTCAACTAATGCTGGGTATTGGATGTAAAGGTAATAATGTGGGGGAAACTCTAGTAATAACAGAGCTGTGATTTTCTGAGAACATATTTACAGTGATAGCTTTATGCCAATTCCAGGCAATGCTTCCAATAAAGGGAAAAGGCACATGCTTTGTATGTGCCTTGCCAGGCTTAGACTTTGTGGCAATAACAAGCAATTTCCTCGGCACGTCTTGTTTCAATAAGCTGTGCAGAATGCCGGATGCTTTGTACACTGATGCTGCAAAGGGAGAAGCGAGTGCCAGTTAATGCTCATTATGAGTATATAGCATATCTAGTGGCTCAGTATGAGTGGCTAGACACCTCCCTCTCCTTTGATCAGCCTCTGCATTTGAAGCCTATAATGCCTGCTCTACAAACGATGCCGTTTTGTGGCAAAAGTTAAGGCAGCTCCTTCTATAATTTCTGCATGCTCTACCACTAATTACATAAATACCTTCAGCACAAATGATGCCAGCATCTTCACTGTGATCGCAATCCTGTACCCCAAGGCCCCTACTACTGCAGTTTTCCAGCCTCGTTTCATTTCCATTGCACACCACACCGTCTAGGATAATTCTCCCGTTGCCTCCGCCAAAACTTGAGAGAAATGATACATCTAAATCGAAAGGTGGCGGTCATAATATTTCTCCAACTGGACTGTAGTTGGGTGTATTATATCACCATACTTGACGTTGGGAGTCCCAGTTGCCTGCACACTACGACCGCTGCTTCGTTATTCCAGCCATTGTCACACACTGTGCCCCATTCCGCCTCGTTGCAGAACTCCACCCGTCCACTGCTGTTGTCAAATCCATCAACCAAACGTACATCTCCGTCCTCGCAGCCGTCCGATCCTACAGAAAAGCAAGATGGGTTTCGTGCGCGCTGTGCGTGACGGCGACGACGCGCCACAATTATTTCCGCGAAAGCTGATATTCTGACCTGACAAGAGGCCTGGTAGAATAAGTAGGAAGGAACAAGTCTTGAGCATAAGCACTGGTAGCTAAAAGTGCGACAAAAGTCTGGCCAACGAAGATGTAAGCGCGTAAGTGCGTGCTGTCATATTATAGCGGAATAGGATTGCGCTATTATTAACCCTCGGCGCGCATGCGCAGCGAGGGTTACAGTACTTGGGTCTGTGTGTGTGTCTGTCTGTCTGTCTGTCTGTCTGTTACTCTCAATCTCACTTTTCGGGTGTTTGTTCGTCTCACAAAGGATACGACCTACTTAACGGGCAATGAAGGTCAGAAATTTCGAACGGTTTTCTCTGAAACTGCTCCGTTGCAAAGCTGGAGCGCGAAAAAGCCAATATGCAAATACGCAACGGACGGGATGGCTTACCACAGTCCGATCGATCCGCGGGCTCTACGTACTTCGGAGGCACCAGAAGATGCAACGCAGGGCGTGTATCGCCTCTCGCATGCTATGTAGTAGTGTAGTTAGCCCGCGTCAGACTCTGCGCGAGCTGGCAAGAGACCACGAGTAACAGCTAAAACTAAACCCAGCCCATCAATTAGTAGTACGGCGCATGCGTTTACTTACGCGTGCGCGTCACAGTGCGCCGAGGGTTTGCACTTCAGTGCTTTTCATTATCTATGGTGCTGCCACGCACACAATCGGAAATGCGAGAAGCCTTGTATATTATATCAAACAAAAAATGAGCTATAAACGGACCAACACATGCGTTTCAGCCATGGTATATACCTAGCATTATAGATGTATGGGGCTATGATAGGGAGTTTTGTTCATCATCATCTTCTTCTTCTTCTTTCAACCGGCACAACTCAAGAACCGAAAGAGATAAAGCCATGAAATTTTGTAGGAATGTACATATCGATAACTACATGTGTAACTTTTTTTGTTTGTAAACAATGTTGTTTACTTTAAACATCAACAAAAGTGCCCCAGGCAATACATTATAATGGGCATACTACATGTGTCAGTGTGGTAAGAGCTACGTGAGCGAAAGTTTGTACACATAATGTGCTCAATAGCCAACATCAAAGTCACAACAATACATGTTTGTAAATAACAACAAATAAGCCTCAGGCACTTTTACTTCTTCACTTCTCAAACTTTCCATGCATTGAGATGAAACTTGGTATGTATGCCTATTATATCATTTCCATGACGATTACATGTTTACATGACGTCCACATATTGTTTGAAAAAGCTTCAAGCAATTTTCTTTTAAACTCCTCAAACTTAAATGTAGCACGCATGGAAGTGAAACTTGGTGCGCATGTGTATTACATCGTTTCCATGACGACCACAACAACAAATAGTCTCAGGCACTTTTCTTTAAAATTACTTTTTCACTCCTCAAACTTGTTAACTGTAACACGCATGGAAATAAAACTTGATATGCATGCATGTTACATCATTTCAATGACAACTTCATTTTTCGATGATGACAACGAATTGCTTGAACAACATCAATATCTTCAGGCACTCTTCACTCCTCAAACTTGCTAACGGTAGCACTCATGGAGATGAAACTTGGTGGTATATATGCATGCGTATGACATCGTTTCCATGACAACCACTTATTATTTGAACAACAACAAATAACCTCAGGCATTTACTTCTTCACTCCTCAAACTTGTTAATGGCAGCACACATGGAGATGAAACTTGGTACGCATGCATACTACATCATTTCCATGACGACAACCGGCATTTTTCTTTCATATTAATTTTTATATGGGGCTTGCCCCCTTTCACAGATATATACGTAGCTAGTAGTATATAAAAATGAGTGGAGACAAGTAAATTTAAAATCCTGCAAATTTAAACCAGAGGCATGTAGGGATGATATAAAAAGAAAGGGAGACAAGATAGGGATGGGATATATGTAGGATGGTTAATGAACAGATTTGAGCAGCTGACACCCCTAACCCCATCACACAATCCCTATATATATTGTTGCCTAGGTGAAGTATTAAACATTCACCATTACAATACTCAGAACTTATAATAGAAAAAGTGAGTAACCAACACCGTTATAGGAGTTTAAAGGGAATGCCCCGCGCGGCGCGCCGCCTGCGCGTGCCACGCGCTTGTGCCGATAATTGCATTCCACGGGTGACATACGCGCTTATAGTGGAGCGACGCACACTCGCATACCCTCCCTCCTTTATTTCGTGCACTCACCAAGATGGTTGTGTAGGGTGTACTGTTGATGCAGTGTGTATTACTGTCGTGCTTTCTACAGATTGCCCATTTTTTGTTGACGCAAACTTCACCCGTGAAAGAGGTGTTCTTGATAGCGGCAGCCTGTCTGACTTCAGGTGAAATGAAAAAGCCCTTAAAGTATGAGGGATAGTTGGTTTGTCTCCTTTTCCACTCTTGTGCCAACAAAAAAAGCAAAATTGTTGACACCCTTATTAGGGGGATGGCGAAATTTGGGCGAAATTGCAGCAACATAGAACATTTTACCATTCCATACTCCAACTGAAGTTAAAGTGGGATAGTTTGTTTGTCTATTTTTCCACTCTTGTGCCAATAAAAAGCAAAATTGTTGACACCGTCATTTTGAGTGATACAGTGTAGAAGATGTTACCATTCCATACTCCAACTGTACTAGTTAAAGTATTAGGATGTTTTCATAGTATGGGCAGAGGACAGAAGGAGTTGTGTATAATTATATCCCAATGTGGAACTCAGCGTGACCTGAATGGCACAGATTAAGTTGCAAGTAATGTAAAACATTAATAACAGAGAGTCATCCCTGTGCTGATGTAATGCTCCAAGGAGGCATCTATATTACTGTCACTCAGTCCAATGATGTCGGCTCTTCTGTGGACAGTAGCCTGATAGATAGTGAGTGTAAACAATATCTTGTTGTAGGATTGTACACATGACGTGATCATCATTGCAATTGCTTTTCTACATCTATATTACAGGATAGAGACTTGTCAATGAGAAAATGTCTCTGCCGCTTTCTGTTAGTAGACTACTCTTGCTGTTGGTGGTTTTTAAGTAGGCGTTGTATGAAAAAAGGAGCATTATATGTGGGACTGCCATCAGATTACTATAGCTACATTGGGAATGGCAACAGTTTCAGTGCTAGGCGGAATGTTTTCAGTAATGGAAGTGACTTCAGTAGGGAAAGAAGGTGTGGTCAGATCCAGGTAGCCACCCATGACCTCTAGACGTTCACAAATATTTTTTGCCAGCTCAGAGAAAGTTGGCCGCTTGTCAGGTGCAGCTTTCCAGCATTCTTGTACTATAGCATAGCTATAAAAAGAGGTGTGTACATAAAAACTGGTTAGAAAAACACATGTTTTGTGCATCAATCAAGATAAAATGTGCATTATGATGAATCGTACTTACATATGCTCAGAGCAGGCTGTGTTATTAGGTTTTTCGAGTCTCTCTCCTCTTTCCAGGTACTGTACAATAGAGTGTGGGTCCATTCCTGGATAAGGTGTCTTTCCCAATGTGAACACCTCCCAACATGTAACTCCAAATGACCACTGTGGAAAAAGGCATTTGAAATGCTAAACTATAGTGGAGCATAATATACATATTTTGTGAATGCACAGAAGTACTGCTAATGCCACTCTAATGCATGGTGGGTTACCCGTCTGTCACACACTCATTGGCTAGCTGCAAATGCAGGAGACAGTATACTCCCTTTGTGTGTACTTTGGTGTCTTTTAACTGACCACAGCAGCTAAACCAGTGCTCATAAAATGTTTTTGCCGCCTTGTTCTCATAACCTAGGCAGACCGTCACACACGACACAAATAAAACCATAACCTCAGCTGCCTATGTTCACAGAGGGTATTTACTAGTGCACCTCAGAACGGTAGGTGTTCTTACCATATCAGTTTTCCCAGAGAAGACTCCGTCATTCAGACTCTCCAGAGCCATCCATCTCACTGGCAGCTTCACTGGAGTCTCCCCATCCTCCTCTCGTCTTGACAATTGTCTGAAGTAGTTTCTGGAGTAAATGTTCTCAGTTAGGCCAAAGTCAGACACTTTGATGACAAAGTGTTCGTCAATCCTACATAAAGATATGATTGCAGTGTATATGGTTGGAACGATTATGGAAATCCCTTGAAGTGTTATAATTTTGATGCCTTTGAATTTCCTCTGGCAAAGGTACGATGTTTACTCACATGCAATTCCTGGCAGCAAGATCTCGATGAACAAACTCAAGTGATGCTAGATATTCCATTCCACGGCATATCTGCAGACACATTGACCAAAGCTTTTTACCCACATCATTCACCTGTGGAAGATACCGCAATTGTATGGCTGGAAATTTGAGAATTGTGTAAGAATGCACTGTAGAATTGTTTACAATCACACTCTTACAAGGTCAACATCATCATTAGTGTTGAGAATGGTAAAGTCAGCCCTGTTCTTTCTGAGGTAGGAGAGTAGGCTGCCATAAATCATGTAAGGCATCACAATGTAGACGGAAGGCCAGTTGTGTGGTGAGACTCCAATCAGTTTCATCACGTTCATGTGGTTAAATTTTATCATAACCAAACTCTCTTCTATTAGCCTCCTCTGCTCCACGGGACTGAACACTGTAAAGAAAGAGAGAGAGAAGATGGATATTTTAGAAAGGAGAGCCGTGATACGTCTAGAGGTTAGGACATTGCGTTGTGGCCGCAATAACCCAGGTTCGAATCCTGGTCACGGCAGCTTTTTACCTCTATACTTTCACCTTCACTAACGGATTCCCTTTGAATTCTGTGCTTAATCTTCACAAATTATTGCGTTTACCTTTTAATGTTTTGACTGCCACAGTCCGCTCATAATTTCCTCGCCAACCGTTCAGAGTAGCCTTGTAGACTACACCAAATTCCCCTTAAAATTATATTTTCATTTTGGTAGAAACGTAGCAGAAGGAAGAGTTCTAACCTTGTCCAACTGTACCACTGAGGTTGATCGTGTGTTTTGGAATGAGCAAACCTGCAGACGTCAACTGGCGAAGGTAGGTTGATGGAACTCTCGACAGATTTACATCAGGACAAGGTAGGCGCATGGGACCTACAAATTGCTACAAATTAGTCTGAGCTGCTGTCCACTCCCACATATTATGAGTAATACCATACTTGTTTGTTCAGTCGTGTTATCATAGCGATTTGGTCCTCTGTTCTGTGGCGTGCTGCCGTTCAAAGATTCCAAGATGGACAAGAGTTGGAATGGGGCATCAAATCATGTTGCCAAAATAATATTATTAAACTACCTAGTTTCCAGGTGAGGGGTTGGGAAATGGGATTTGCTCTTCATCTTTAAGACAAAGACTAGTGTGGTTACGATTGCAAGAGTTATGATTATTCCTCCTGCTGGAATGGCAGCAAAAATTGCACCGTTTCTCTCATTATTAGCACTTGTGGTATTAGGTGTTGGTATCACTGTAGAGTAAGAAAACCAAAACACACAGCAAACTCAAAGAGGGCAATAATGCATTTTCAATATAGCTATGCACATTATAGCGAACCTACATATTATTATTTCGAAGGGGGTACAACTGTATGGGAGTGGACTCAAAGGTTTTCCAGGGTCTTCACAGACAATAAAGTCAATCTCCTCCCGAATAACGAAGGGATTCTGTTGAAACGCAGTGATCGCAATATCCCAATCTTCCCCACAGGTCTCCTGCAATATTTGACATGTCTCCCTACAAATTGACGTAGGTAGTTCAAACACTGAAGAGTTTCCACATGGAGGGAGGTAGTAATGGCAGAATACTTGTCTTGCAACATCACTGCATTTTTGTAGGTGACCAAACACTAGAGGACCAAAGCCAACGATGTATTTCATAAGTTTGGAATATTGGCCTTTGATTCTGGTATTAGGGACATATATGTAATCAATTCCAGTAGTGTAGAATTCGTCACAGAGAGATTCTTTTTCTTGTTTCCGAAATGGCACACAGTGTCCATACCTGCAATTGAAGTATAATTATACTAAGTTTTTGTGGGAATAAGTATACAGTATATACCTCTGAAGGCAGGTTCTTGAGACTGGATAAGTGAGAGTTGGCTCACCAGATGACGAGTGATTAAACACACATTCACTTTCATCTATTGTGAATAAGAGATACATGTGCCTGAGATCATTTCAAGTGCTGATTCTGAAGCCTCAAAAGCGAGTGCCAAGCTCTGTGCCACTGTTTATCCAGGGTATTGGTAATAATGTGGGGGAAACTCTAATAATAACAGAGCTGTGATTCCCTGAAAACAGATTTACTGTGATTACATCGCCCAAACAAACAACACCACAGAGCTTCTGTCATTTCATAGTAGCATTTTGCTCTGTCAGCATATGGGGCCATCTTATCAGGGCCCTTGTCCTTCGAAGCTTCTGGGTGGTAGCTTTATGCCAATTCCAGGCAATGCTTCCAATAAAGGGAAAAGGCAGATGCTTTGTATGTGTCAGGCCAGGCTTAGACTTTGTGCCAATAACAAGTGGTTTCCTCGGCACGTCTTGTTGCAATGCTTTCAAGTACTCTGTGCAGAATGCCTGATGCTGCAAAGGGAGAAGTGAATGCCAGTTAATGCTCATTATGAGTGTACGGCATATGTAGTGGCTCAGTATGAGTGGCTAGACACCTCCCTCTCCTTTGATCAGCCTCTGCATTTGGAGCCTAGTGCCTGCTCTACAAACGATGCCGTTTTGTGGCAAAAGTTAAGGCAGCTCCTTCTATAATTTCTGCACGCTCTACCCACCAATTACATAGATACCTTCAGCACAAATGACGCCAGCATCTTCACTGAGATAGCAATCATGTACCCCAAGGCCCCTACTACTGCAGTTTTCCAGCCTCGTTTCATTTCCATTGCACACCACGTTGTCTAGGATAAATCTCCCGTTGCCTCCGCCAAAACTTGAGAGAAATGATACATCTAAATCGAAGGAAAATAGAACAAACACTTTAGGTGGCTGTCAAATGTTTCTCCAACGGGACTGTAGTTGGGTATATATCGCCATACTTGAAGTTGGGAGTCCCAGTTGCTTGCACACTACGATCGCTGCTTCGTTATTCCAGCCATCGTCACACACTGCACCCCATTCCGCCTCGTTGCAGAACTCCACCCGTCCACTGCTGTTGTCAAATCCGTCTACCAAACGTACATCTCCGTCCTCGCAGCCGTTCGATCCTGCAGAAAAGTTTCGACGACGCGCCACAATTATTCTGCAAGAAAAGCTGGTATTCTGACCTGACAAGAGGCTTGGTATAATAAGTAGGAAGGAACAAGTCTTGAGCATAACCACTGGTATATAGCGACAATAGCATAGGTCTCAACCTTCCAGAAGGCTTGCTGACATACGCGCGAACAACCAAATGCGCATGCGCGTATGGTTCAGTTCAGTATACCCGCCCACTAGTATTTACCCGCGATCGCTTGCCAGTTACGAGTCTATGCTTGAAGCAACAGTACACTGACATATACGCAGTGCTAAAGAGTACTGAGTACCAGAGTCCAGTTGTCCATGATTCGTTGCTCTGTTGCAAACCGTTTTTTTTCACTACCGCGCAAATACGTCCGGACAAGCAAGGTGATGGGCGGGACAAGGCTGTGAAAATCGGTACTGTCCCGCCTAATTCGGGACAGTTGCAATAGTCCGGCCAACGAGCGCGTAAGTGCGTGCTGTCACGCGCACAATCGGAAGTGCGAGAACCCTTGTATCAAACAAAACAAGAGCTATAAACGGACCAACACATGCGTTTCACCGCAGTTGATGCGGAGGTTTAAGAGGCGGAGACGCTAAAACAGACCGTTGTGCGAAAATGAAGTCGTGGAACTTCTTGATATTTGTCACTGGAGCATTGCTCAATCTAAAAGGAGGTAGATGTTAATTTCGTTGCGAGTTAGGGGTTTACGTGTGGGGATACTGAGTGGGCTATCTGTTGGACATTGTCAGAGTAAAGAACGCAGAAGAAAGCCCGTTTATGTTTCACTGTGTAGGTAGGTAGCCGATTGCTAAATCTTCCAGAAAGCCAGTGGGATGTTCGAAGTACAGTTATTTCACATGTTTACCAAAAGGTGACAGTAATGCACTGTGAGCTCATTGTAAAAAATTGTAAATGTTTCGGTTGTGGAAAGAAGTGTCACGCAGTTGAAAGAAAAGAAAACTGTTAGGCTTGGACATGTTAATCATTTTTAGTCAACCTAGAGTTGCGTCCTTGGAAAGCTTAACATTCCACTTTAGAGGTTCTTGGCTGCACAACTGGAGATGTCAGACTGGCTGGAACTGACAAGAACTATACAGGAAGAGTGGAGTTCTGTAATGAGGGAGAGTGGGGGACAGTTTGCGATAACTCTTGGGATGATGAGGACGCTAGAGTAGTGTGCAGACAGCTGGGCCTCCCCACCAAAGGTGACTTTAGTGATGTTCAAATACAGTACCAATAGCTCGTGGTTTTTTTGAAAGGGCAAAATTAGTCATATATAGCCGTAAAGCTTACTGTTTTTGTAAGGCTTTCTCACATAATGACTTCTTTCTGCTCAACTCTGTTTGCCAACAGTTGTGAAAGCACTGCAAGGGTTTGGAGGTGGGTCGGGAGAGGTGTGGCTCGACAATGTCGGCTGTCGTGGCAGCGAACAGACGACTGAATGACTGCACACACAATGGAGTCGGAAACCATAGCTGTAACCGTGAACACTATGAAGATTCAGGAGTCTCATGCATTTCAGGTGTAATATGTTTTCTCCACGTAGCTACTGCATGTTCTTGAACTTCTGAGCACTATCCTTTACTAAACAGCATGGTCTCCATACAGATGAAGAGGTTATATGTGATTTCGAGCAGGCTATGCCACTGGAAAACCCTCCAGAATGTAGTGAGAAAGACACTCAATCTGGACCATCAGAAGCATGCGTACACAGGTATAATTCAAAGAAACTGCAATAGAGTTGCTATCAACTAATCTTCAATAGGTATGGAGTACGTGTTCCATTCTATACAATAAGTTCTCCCACACCATGCGATGATCTTTACGAACCGGGTGTCGACTACATCTATGTACCACTAAGCAGGAGCAAAGGAATCTACTCAAGACTAATAAAAGACATAGCCGCGTATGGCCATTTCCTACTGGAGGACCTAGTGGAGTGCTATGAGATAGCAAGACGCGTCCTCTGCCGCTATTACTTCCCTCCTAGCGGAAACGTTACTCACTTCCATCCTCCAGTCAGTGTCTGTCCAGAACAGTGTAGACTCATTGAACAACTCTGCCCCGAGGAGTGGGCATCAGTAGTGAAAAGGTTTCAGGATAACGATGCAATCATTTCTGGCCAGGGCCTCCAGTTGATAGAGTGTGACTTCCCAGGGAGGCATTTGTCTCCGTTGCCACACTGCTGCTCTGATCTTGGTCTGAACACATGTAAGTGTTTCTTATTTAGTCTTTGGTGTCCATAATACCTCTTCTGTTCTGTATCCAGTGTAATATGAAAAACGGGGTTTCGAAATAGATTATAGATGCATGTTCGATTCTCGTGCTCTTCTTATTGTGAGTAATGGAAATATTAGCTTTGTTTTTCCTCTTTTTTGCCTGTAAGCTCTACTATTGAACAATGAAGAAGATGAAGACACCAGTACTAATATTCCAATACTGAGTCCATTGTACCTTGGCATCGGTTCAGCAGCACTTGTTGTTTTGACTGCACTTGTGGCTGTTCCCATTATACTCTGTTCTCTACGGAAGTGGTGTCAGAGACCCAAGAGGATGGTCATATCAAAGCCACAGTCCCATCACAGAAGGTTAGCACATGGTTTGAGGCTCGCAAGAATGAAAAACATGCTGTACCCCTTCTTGTGGACAGATGGGTCTTGATTCTCTGTAGCCAAAATTTTTTATCCTATTCATTTCGTATGGTAGGAGGTCAGTGAAGACAGAGAGAATTGACATAGTTGTGGATGAGGCAACGCATTGTTACACACAAAATGACGGTGAGTTTGTGAGGCTCTATTTGTAGCTACTCAATCATGCTTGTCTTGATTCACTAGATGCACTCGGAAGCTTCAAGAGGAAGGAAGGGGAGCCACAGGTTCGAAGGGTACTGTCAGGATTTATCAGACAGATGTCGGAAGACAAATTGCTCATCCCTAAAGAGCACGTCCATCTTGTCAGCATTGTCGGGCAAGGTCCAAATTGTTCTGGTTAAGTGTTTCACCACAGACATTAAGACAAGAGAAAAATTAAACGTCCTTATAAATACGTGTTAACACTCACTCTCACTATCCAAAAACTCGTGGCATTCATTATAATTATTATGTTATGTGACTGTAGGAGAGTTTGGTATAGTTTACCGAGGAACACTCAATAACTGGAAGGGGTACTTCCACCATGTTGTTGCAGTTAAGACATTGAAAGGTGAAATTGAAAATTTATAAGCGAGTCTAATGCCTACATATTCATAGGGTTATATAGCTTCAGTGATCTCAGGCATTTCGTGGAGGAGAGTAAGATTATGTCTAAGTTTGACCATCCCAACGTTATGAAGTTACTGGGAGTGTCAATCAGTAAGGGTAAAACCCCCTTCATTGTCATGCCATTCATGGCCCAGGGAAGTCTCCTGTCCTACTTGCGGAAAAACAGAGCACAGCTGACAGTAGAGAATGAAGACATGATTGAATTGGTAAGACAATCTGCTCACATTTAGCTACCACTGAGGCTCATGTTGAAACACTGTAGTACTTTTGCCGTTGAATACGCTTTAATTTCCCCCACTATAGATAGGGAACACAGGCTCGAAACTGCTGTCATTGTGTCTTCAAATTGCAAAAGGGACGGCGTACCTTGCAAGTAATAAGTTCCTGCATCGTGATCTCGCAGCAAGAAACTGCATGTAGGTGATAATTCTTCAGTGTGCTTCTCAAGTCACAACTCTATACATTTATGTACATAGGATTGACCAGTACAATGTGATAAAGGTTGCCGACTTTGGTCTCTCGGAAGATGTGTACGCCAGAAACTACTTCAGACAGATGTCAACACAAGAAGAGGATGGGGAGACTCCAGTGAAGCTGCCAGTGAGATGGATGGCTCTGGAGAGTCTGAATGATGGAGTCTTCTCTGAGAAAACTGATGTGGTAACTACGAACACCTATACCATTCTTAGGTGCTCAGTATAAGAATTTGTCTGCAGTGGTCATTTGGAGTGACATGTTGGGAGGTGTTCTCATTAGGGAGGAACCCTTACCCTGGAGTGGACCCCTTTTCTCTCATCAGATATCTGGAGAGTGGAGAGAGACTGGACAAACCTTTCAATGCTGCCTGCTCACAGGACATGTTAGTCATTGTCAACAACTAGTCTTTATTACGTATCTTTACTTTTCAGCTATGGTATAATGATGAGCTGTTGGAACAAGTTTCCAGAGGAGAGGCCAACCTTCTCAGAGCTGGTGACCCTTATCTCTACTAGTCTGGAGGAGATGGCTGGCTACTTGGACTTCACCACTCCTTTCTCTGCTGAACTCACTCTCAATTCCTCTGAAATTGAAATAGCAACAAGTTGAGAGATCGATGACTATAGTCAACAAAAATTGTTGTAACCCATTTTTGTATATCATTCGAAAATTTCAGCCAAAAACCTACGTGGGCTAACTTGCGCATGCACGATCGATCGATTGGACGCACACACGTGACTTTGCACGCCACTAAGCTAAGCGCGGCGCGTATATCCGAAAGCCTCAGAGCTTTGTGGTAAATTAATGACGATAAACACTAAAGTGCAAACCCTCAGCGAACTGCGCATGTGCGGTACCACTAATTGATGGGCTGGGTTTTTATGCCTTTACTCGTGGTATCCCGCTAGTAGCTCGCGGAGAGTCTGACACGGGCTAGCTACAGTAGTAAATAGCATGCGGGAGTCGATACATGCCCTTCGTTGTGACTTGTTGTGCCTTCAAGACATACAGAGCGAACGGACGCGGTCGGGGTAAGCCTGTGCTAATTTACATATTGGCTTGTTCACTTGGTTTTCACGCCATAACTTTAAAACACAGTAGTTTTACGAAAATCGCCTTTTTTAAAATCAACCCAGTGTAGCACTGAACCCGATCATATCGCTATTTACCTGATTTCGTGCGCGCGGTGGCAGAAAAACGTGGTAACAGACAGACAGACTGACAGACAGACACACGTACTTACGGGACAACTACCGTAACCCTCGCTGCGCATGCGCGCCGAGGGTTAATAAGCGCGTAGCGTTGGCAGCTAGCTAGCTAAGCGCAAGCCGGCAAGAGCACGCGCATGCATGCATGCACGTTGTAAATGAAACTGCGCCAAAGGTTGCGATTTAGTTCAATAGCGGGAGGACAACTGCACGTGTGTCTATTCGCAAGCTGCAGTATCGTTGCGGTATCATGATGTTGTGGAGCATCTTGGTTCCTGTCATCGCAGTAGTATTTCATCTGCAAAGAGGTAAATGCGGTTTGTCATTCGTGGATAATGATGAATGAACAGCAGGACCTATGCCAAATCATATTAGCGCAAAGACGGTAACGTTATGAGTTTTTTTCTTGAAAAAGCTGTTCAGAGTTGCATGAATGGGGACATCAGACTGACTGGAGCTGACAAAAACAACACAGGAAGAGTGGAGTTCTGCTATGAGGGAGAGTGGGGACAGTTTGCGACGATTTGTGGGATGAAGAAGACGCTAGAGTAGTGTGCAGACAGCTGGGCCTCCCCACCAAAGGTGAATATTGATAAACATCCATTCACTTCAATTGTATTTAACGTGTCATAATTAAACCAAAATGACATGAAAGAACTCTGTTTATAGCACCTTTATATACTGCATGAAAGGAATAATCATCAGTATTGATTTGTATGGGTTGCTTCTAAAGAGGTTTGTTTATTCTTTTGCACTTTGATGACAGTTGTGAGTGCAATTCTTGGGTTCGGAGGTGGATCTGGGAAGATTAACATTGACAATACTGTCTGTAATGGCAGTGAATTGAGACTGGAGGACTGCATGCACAACGGCATCAGGAACCACAACTGCGAACAGGATGAACACAATGAAGATGCAGGAGTTATATGCCATCCAGGTCTATAACTAAACTTATCTTTGTGATTCATTCTTGGTTTTTTCTACGACTAAGAAAATCGTGATGCAAAAGCATAGGCTATCTGTAGGTTTTTCTCTCAGATGATACAGACACGTCATGCTACTTTGATGAACAGACAAATCCATTGGAAGACCCTGTTCTGTGTGACGATAATGGATCCCAATATCTGCCATCTCGGGCATGTGTGTATAGGTAATGGTCATATTCAACCAAGTTTTGGTTTCCTTAATGCAACTATCCTCAATGCAGGCATGGAGTGTGTGTTCCATTCTACCCAGCCCTAGCTCCAACAGTCTGTGACAGTGTCTACAAAGCAGGAGTGGACTACATCTACGTACCTAAAAACCGCAGCAGGGGCAGCTACTACAGACTTATCCGAGACGTCGGGCGGTACGGTCCGTTCCTGATAGAACCTCTCCTGAACTGCTTTGAGCCAGCACGACAACTTCTCTGTCATTTCTACTTCCCTCCCTGTGGGAACGTGACCCATTTCCACCCTCCCACCTCTGTCTGCTCGGAGGAGTGTAAGACCATCTCCCAAATGTGCCCCGAGGAGTGGGCTTCAATCGTGGAGAGGTTCAATGAGAATGATGCCATCATTGCCACCGAGGGACTCCAGTTGATAAACTGCGACTTCCCAGGGAAGCACCTGGCCCCTCTACCACACTGCTGCTCTGACCTGGGCCTCAATATATGTGAGTCAGCTAAGCCATGGTTCACAAAAGCGGCGATAATATTAATGGGGGTGGTCGATGGTGAATGTGTTGGCCTACAAATCCTTGCTCAACCTCACGTTTGGAATTATCATGGCTTGCTAGACATTTGCCCTCCTATCCCCCTTTTGAATCGATTTTCTCTGCTTACTAGTATATGCTAAGAAGATATAATACATCCAGAGGCATTGACTGTAATTTGTGTGGTGGCACTTTTGACACTCAAAACTCTATACCCCTGACAGCTATTTCATCATCAAAGAATGAAGAAAGAGATGAACCTCGTAGCTCCACCTCGAGTCGGGTGTACATTGGCTCTGGTGTAGGAGCAGCTATACTTGTTTTGACTGCAATCTTTGCTGTTCCCATATGGTGCATTGTCTACAAATGGCACCAGAGACCCAAACGAATGGTCATATCCAACCCACAATCGTATCATGGAAGGTTAGCAGTATGGGTTTTTATAAGGGTAGATTATTGATACTTTGGGGAATGAAAACTGAGTTCTGGAGGTGAGATGTCAAACAGTTTTCCCCATTCCTGATACGCATGGTACCACACGATCTTTTTTTCTTATTACAGCCAGTTAATAAAACAGAGCTCAAGAATTATCGATGAAGAGCCCCCTCCAGTAACAGAGCGCTACACACTGAATGAAGGTAGGTTTTATAATACTCTCCTTGCAATTAGCTAAGCTTCTTATCCACTGCACGTAATCAGATATGATGTCAACCTTAAAAGTAAGAGAAGAAGGCACGCAAATGCCGCGAGTAGTGTCGGGTTTCATAAGACAAATGTCAGAGGATAATTTACTTGTTCCTGAGGAAAAGGTACATCTTGTTAGCATCGTCGGGCAAGGTCAGTGTTAAGGAAAATTGAAGGATTGTTCTGTTTACGTGCACCACTAATGGCCTGCGCAGGAGAGTTTGGGGCTGTGTACCGTGGAGCACTAAACGATTGGAAGGACTATACTCACCATACTGTTGCTGTCAAGACGCTTAAAGGTATAGCTAAGCGGCTAGTTACCACATTAAAAGTAGGGTCGACGTTTATATTTACACTTCTTTCAAAGCGATATCCAGTTCTAGTGATCTGAAACATCTCGTAGAGGAGAGTCAGATCATGTCAAGGTTTAATCACCCCAACGTCATGAAGTTGTTGGGAGTGTCAATCAATGTTGGGAGAACCCTGTACGTTATCATGCCATTCATGGCTCAGGGAAGTCTCCTCTCCTTCTTGAGAAAGAACAGAGCTGACTTGACGGTAGAGAATGAAGACATGATCGACTTGGTAAGCATGTGTCAGTTGTAAAACATGGCCAAAAAGCTATGTACTAAAACAATGTAATATGCAACTGCAAACTGCTAAGGTTTTCCGTACACATTGCCATTGTATAGCTAATTGTCAATTATTCAGACACCAGGCTTCCTTTGCTCACCAAATTGAATCTAAGACGACAATTTTCATTTATTCAATAACAGATAAAAGACGCTAGTTCACGATTGCTCTCAATGTGTCTGCAAATTGCAAAAGGGATGGCATACCTGGCCAGCCAGAAGTTCATTCACCGCGACCTTGCAGCAAGGAACTGCATGTAAGATCCTAAAGTCTATTGCTACATGTTTTGGTTCAACTGCCCATTCTATATAGGATGGACATGCATAACGTGATAAAAGTTGCTGACTTTGGTCTGTCGGAAGATGTATACGCCAGAAACTACTTCAGACAGATTTCAACACAAGAGGATGGAGAGACTGCGGTGAAGCTGCCAGTGAGATGGATGGCTCTGGAGAGTCTGAATGATGGAGTCTTCTCTGAGAAAACTGATGTGGTAAGAACACCTATACCTTTCTTGGGTGCTCATTACAATGTATCGTCTGCAGTGGTCATTTGGAGTGACATGTTGGGAGGTGTTCTCATTGGGGAAGAACCCCTACCCTGGAGTGGACCCCTTTTCTCTCATCAGATATCTGGAGAGTGGAGAGAGACTGGACAAACCTCTCAATGCTGCCTGCTCCCAGGATATGTGAGTCTTTCTTTTCAGGGTGTGGCTTTGAGATTCTAGTGGTCCTGACCTCCTAGGCCACAACTGACACACCTTGTCTGGATATGAATCTCATTATTTCATAAGAAGTGTTGCAGACTACTGGCAGCCTAGCTCTGACTTATAGCCCGCTAGAGGAGTGCGTATGCTCTGCTGATGAGGGCTAACAAGCTTTCTCTTTTGTTTTGCATGGAGGTATAATTATAGCTTGCTCGAGCTGTTTTAGGTGAAAGGTCCCAAGTTAATGATTTTTTTGCTACCAAGTGGATACGCACCAACAAATAATTAGCGCCTAGTATAATAACCCCATATAAGTTCTTGGCAGTTATTGAGGCTCTGGACACATGTAGTTGTGTGTGTGTGGCTGGTTAAGTGTGAAAGCTCCATGTGTTTTGACCTGCTCTCCTTCAGCTATTGTATGATCAGAGGATGTTGGAACAAGATTCCAGAGGAGAGGCCAACCTTCTCAGAGCTAGTGACCCTCATCTCTACTAGTCTGGAGGAGATGGCTGGCTACTTTGACTTCACCACTCCTTCTTTCTCTGCTGAACTCACTCTCAATTCCTCTGACCCGCAGATAGCAAACGATTAGCTAACACACACACATCATTTAAAACGCATGAGGCTATAAGTAGGTCATACAAGTTTCAAGTACAGACACAACATTTTTGTACTCATTTGTAGTGTAATGTGTTCTCAATCATGTTTTTAGTATCTCAAAATTTATCAAGAGCACGAAGGCCAGGGGAAATGTGGAGACAGCGGAGGGTTTTCCCCAGAGGTATGGCTCAGCAGTGACGGTTGGCACTCTTTGAAGCAACTGTTTCTGTTGGGCAGAGCTAGAGACACATTGGGTGGTGCAGGTCCCACCTGCAAACACAATATTATTGTGTACAATGAACATCTTGCACTAAAGTCATCTTCACTGGCACGGCCAAGTTGTGTTTTTACAGTGTAAAGTATACAGAAACCCAACTAAACGTGCTAAAACTTTAGAAAATTTAGCTAAGCTATACCCTCAGTGTGTTAGCTAGCTATAAAAAAGGGCAACGCACCAGGCGCAATTTTGTTTTACTTGAGACAAAAAAGCTTTGTGCAAGTTATCAGTGTGGGTATATAATATGATGGTTCAGGGAACATATGCATGAATGTATATATATGGCATGCAACACTCACAAGTTACGTTGAGCATGCCTTTAACTCACACCCCACAGACATAGCTATAATTATACCTTGAACTGAGAATAGTTGAGTATGGTAGGACCAAGAGAAGAGAGACCAAAGAACCTGACAGGAGTGTGGGCAGTGTCATTGGAGTCCCAGTAACCATAGCACGGCTTGTCTGGATCACTGGTCCCTGGGAACCACCATACATCACACTCCACCCCCTGTGTACAGGGGGTTATTAACTATTAAAACCCTTTGGACGCCATGGTAAGTAAGCAGAAATATATGTATGTATTAGTTAACGTATAGGCGGCGAGGCGGTACAGGAGATACTGCGAGGCTGTTGACTATATCGGACGAGGGCGTAGCCCGAGGCCGGTATAGTTAACAGCCGAGGAGGATTTCCTGTACATGCCAAGACGCCTGCCTTTAACTGATTTGTAGTCCAACTAGCCAATCACAATGCTGAATTTCTGCTGTGTCATCCTGCACTAATTACTAATGACTGTTGTGTAAACTTTGGAAGCCACCCTAGCGCTAGATGTTGTGATAAGGACTTCCTGTCCACACCTGAGTTGGTGCCTAGTATTATAACCCCCATATAAATTCTTATGGACACGTGTCCTGGCTGGTTAAGTGTTAAGCAGATTCACAGTGTGGAAGTTTCTATCAGTATCATGTGACCAAACACCAACCTGCAAAATAGCTGTACCATTATATTGACAGTTGCTCATCCAGTCAGGAGCTACACACCCCAATCCCTACATAAAAAGCCAATCGGTCACAAGTGTGCCCATAACTCTGAGTCTTATCAAGTCATTGATGATACCTCTGCAAACAGACAGCATTCATTGTCTTCCCAAGTGCTGGCAGTGTGATTGACGAAGAACATGTTGCCTCCAGTTGCTACGAAACTGCAGGAATAGTTGTCTGATGTCAATGAGGGTTTTTCGGATCCAAAGAGAGGAAGACACCAGCCAATGTAGTCAGATCTAAATGTCTGGAATCAATGCAAAGAAAATCTACAAACTATATACCTAAACAAATAACTGTTTTACGTCCATGAGTTGAGCCCTTGACAATATTTTTTAGTGCAAAGCGCCAGATTGTGGGCGCACTACGATTGGATTTACCTTCGTCTTCCAGTCATAGTAAAGGGCTCCAGAGGAGTTCCAGTTGGGGCCATACTTCTCTATGAGTATCTCCAGCTCTATGGTGAACTGGTCCGGCCAGGCTGGGACTGGATGAGGCGGCTGGTAAGGCCCTTCTGCGACGCTGACTGCCGCAAGCAAAGCCGCTAGCAGTAGCATACTTAGCCTCCTTCGCGTGCGCATGCTCCTGAACGACTCCTTATAGCGCACACTCGGAGAGCTTTGCGACGATCGAGCGGTGCTGGACCGCTAATCACTATTCTCTCATTGTTTTGCCTATGCCTATAATTTCGCTTATACAAAATCCGCTGTATGTGCAGAAAAATTAATGCTCTGCAAGCAAGCAATAAAGTATGAGACTGATAAAATACATCAAAGGAAAAATCACAATTTATTGAAATGAAACACAAAAATGACGCCACTGGTGATAATAAAGATCAGTGATCAGCTGAATCCATATTCTCCACATCATCGGATGGTACTGGATCTCCACTAGCTAATGGGCTTTCTGAACCACCAGACACTGCACTATCACTGATAACTACACTATCACTGATAGTACTAGTGACAGTGGTGGCGACTGAAGTGGTCAAAATTCTAAGTGCACATTCAATCTTTTCTCTGAGATGACTGATGGTGTCTGGATGAGAGCTGGTGACGGTCTTGGCATTCTTTTCCTCTCTCTGAAGCTCTGAGAGTCTCTTTGTGCTGTGCTCAACTTCAGATATGAGGGCATTTAGCTCTGCCCGGGCATCACTTAGAACTCCCTCCTTCTCTTCTCTCCGTTTTGCACAGGCCTGGTACTCTTCTTCCACTCCTGTACAATACATCCATGCATGAGGACTGCACACACGTCATTATTTCATGTCTTACAACAGCTTGTGTACACTGTGGCATTCCTAAGCATGCTGCATAGTCGTGGACAGTCTTTGCATACAAGCTGCGATGCACTGCAAGAGTTTTAGCCGGCTTATAGCATTCCACAAATTGGGATACTTGGTTGTTCATTACACAGATTTGCTCTCTGCTGCTTGCATGCCACAGTATATACCTTCCAGCTCCTCCTCGGCCTGATGCACAGTCTCCCTGGCGTTTGTCTCAGCTTCATTCACCAGAGACAGCAGTCCCTCACCAACACCCAGACACAGTAGGTTACTGGCAAACGACACCATCTCCTCTGCATCTGTACAACCAACACGACACACTTACTGTCACAGTCCAGTAGAGTAATATTGACAATGGAAAACTTTGTGCTCTAGGCTATTGCAATTGAGCTTGTGACAACAACAAGGTGAGGTAGCAAAGGCAAAGCAAACAAACAAGTCAACCACACCGTACACTATCACGCTCTTGTCTGTATGCAAAATGTAAGGAAAGGATGCAGTAGTAATGCAGTTTATGAGCACTCACTCTCGAAAGGCAAAAAGCATAAAGTCGCTATATACATATATACTGTATATACATCTCCCTTATTGTATTTTGCGTGGGCGAATCAAAGGCGCCGCCAGTACTATATTCATCATACAGAACAGTTTTTGTACTATATCACACGAACTGTACTATCTAGCATACGCTTTGCGGGAATGACGCCCTCGGCGGCCTTTCGTAGACGGAGTTCGACTCAGACGGTGACACAAACAGCTGCTGGAAGGGCGCTCCGCGAGCTTCTAGTCCTCTCTTTCGTTCTGAACACCGATTTTCCTGGCCGCCGCCTTTTGAACTATATCCGCGGACTTTGCGGGAATGACGCCCTCGGCGGCCTTTCGTAGACGGAGTTCGACTCAGATGGTGACACAAACCGCTGCTGGAAGGGAGCTTCTCGTCCTCTCTTCCGTTCTGAACGCCGGTTTTCCTGGTCGCCGCCTTTTGAATCGCCCACTGTACGGCAGCACTGACTTCCGTACATTAACTATTACATAGTAAACATGTGACCTCTAACAATTCTATAGCTTTACCTGGTTCTGAGGGAACATCATTCCAATTTGCCTCCAGTCCCGTCCTCTTTCTCTTTGAAGAGTGACTCTGAGTGCAACTCCCACTATTAGGTGTGTCCACGATGTCACTGGCCCCACCCACCACGGGCTTGGTCCAGTACATGTCCCCACATCGTCCACAGGTGAACTTGCCGCTGTTACGGAGTCTGTTACATCTCAGACACACAGTGGTCGCTCTGTTCTTTAGACCTATGCATGTACGGATAATGCTAATATCTATTTGCTGATGTGTACATCAGTACATAGAATGGCGTTCGGGGGAAGGGGGCGTGTACATGTGTGAAAATAGCACACTGTATCCAATCACCCCTCCCATTTATTGCTGGGAAATAATTACTGGGACTCTGAGCCCCTGTGGTTCATATGCCACTGATTATACATGTCTGTACAAGTTTAGCAAGTTAAATATATATAACATGAAAAAAATGACTAAAGATCCTTATATAATATACCTGCTGAAATTCTGGCTGATGAGTGGCTCTCTTGAGATCTGTAGACTGAAGTTTACAGAATGGTATAATGCCTTACGAACACACTTGATATGCTAGATTTCGCACATTGGTGCAAACAATAATTACGGAAATTGGTATTTAAAAATTAAACTGTGACAAAGGTTTCAAACAAGTACCTAAACACCTTATATAAAAAAAATAGTTGTCCCCACTCCGTGGTGAAATGAAGTGGTCCACTAACTTTTGTTGCTGCTGGAGCCGACGTAGACCCACTTGGTTGCGGTGCAGGGAAGAGAGTGGCCACACTTGTAGCACTCTGTACTGTGACTGTGGTTGGGTCTATTGCACTGAGGACACGGCCGACCCTGTAAGGAGAGCATTACGACAGGGGCTGACCCTAATAAATATATTATACCTAGTCAGAATGAACTGAAGAGGGACAACTCAAGTATATACAAACCTTGGGGAAACGTCTAATTCATATGCATGTACGGTACCGCTAATAGATATGGGATGGGCTACGCATTGTTGATTTACTTTGTTGTCTCTAGCTAGTAATGTTGTTTATGTGCACTAAATAATTATTATTATTGCAATTGACACATTTAAAAAATGATTAAAAATGAATCTCTTGCACCATTGAAACTGTGTTACTTACTGTGTTCTTATTTTTTTGTTTTAGGCGGAAAAAAAAAGAAGAAAAAAATTGCCACTATACATCTCTCCAGACAGACGTCTATGGACGCAGTGCAATGCCAAACTGTACGCTGTCCTTTGAGATGTATGTGGCGGTGGCGTGGGTCAGTGATAGATTTGTGGGTAAGGGGAGGAACCAGAGCTGTTCCCAGCCAATGCTCTGGACCATCTGACAGTTTCAGCGCGGTTCGGGATTCGAACCGGGCACCTTATGTGTCAGTCCCCCCCACGTCTCTAACCACTTAGCCACTTGGGCTGGCCACGAGAGCTGATGAAAAAACGTTCCTCTTATATCAACACTCATATTACATCATTATAAAAAAACCCACGCAGACAGGGATCGAACCTGGGACCTAATGATCAAGCGGGTGAATACTTATCCACCAGACCACACCCAATACTTGGGAGGGTGAGGTTCAATACCGTATAAATACCACTGTTTATGGCAGGTTACTATTTTAGTGCCAATGCCACACACAGTCCGACATACATAATAGTATATAGAACTTGTGACTAAGACTAAAAGTGAGCCTGTTTAAGTTGAAGACTTCTTAACTGTGTGATTTCTACCAAGTTTCAAGTCCCTCAGGATTCATTGTAACCCCTGCCATGAACTTATTCTTCTACACACTGCTTAACATGCTTAAAGTGCAAGAAAGTAAAACAACTGTAAACCCTGGAACTACAGTGTAATTTTTTGAAGCCTCTGTGAGTTGTTTGTACTTGAAAGTTAGCGAGTGAGGATCACGTTTGCATGAAAGCAAGCTGTAGGAAAATGCACCATCTTCACCCAACAAACTGTACCTCATTATAGCATAAGAGTAAAGAGGTTTACCTGTAAGGGTGACCGGCACTGTAGACATTTCTTTGCCATCTTGGAGTTGAGTTGTCCGCACTCGACACATTTGCGAGACGAGGCAAGGTTTCCCGAGAACATGGTCTTTGTCACCACTCCAGAGTCCTCAGTCTTCCCCGAGTCCTGGGAGAAGAGGAGAGGGAGGGATTACTAACACTCACTCATACATATAAATTGATTTGCCAGCCCTCGGTTTGTGTTTGTGTTTTATCTATGTAGATATCAAGTGAAGCTCCAGCAGCCCTTCTCACACTTCTTTCTCTTCCTTCTTTCTATATATAGTATGTAAGTAAAGCGTGAGCCGTTATTTTACATACATATGTCCACATAGCACTCACATGTGAAACTGTGTTTATAACGTTTTAAACTTTGTTACTGTGTTCTTATACCACTAGGACCAAATTTGCTAAGCACACATGCATTTCCTCACTCCCATCATGTACATACACATGCTGCATGTTAGTGATTGTAACTTGTCCCCTAAAACCTATGCATTAAAAGCCCACAGGCCCTATACACAGAGTGTCCTTGCTACGCTCAATACACTACAGCAGAACTGTCATTATAAGCTTGTAGATTTCGCAGAGTCACTGTCTATTACTTATTGTTCGTGCAAGGCCCTTTGACTTGTACAGTTTTAATTTGCTACACATATAGTACATAGTTACATACCTGAGGGAACATGCTCTTGAGAGCGGCATTCCGAATGGGAGGAGGGGAGAAGTGGGGAGAGAGGGGATACTCTGGAGATAGACTGTCTTCTGGTGTTCCCGTCCTGTACCTCACTCCCTCTGCACAAACATACATACAACATGTACATACGTACTACAAGTTGAGAGCAAGGCCACAGGTGCAATATCTGTTATGTTCATGTGAGCTACTAAAGAACTATGCATTACCCTCTCTGTGTGAGGGTTTGGAATTTGCCTCCATTGCTCCCCCTCTTTAGCTAAGCATCAATGCACATTGGCTTGTGCCCTTTGTTTCACTCGCCTCGTTTCACCAAATCCGTATTGGGGTTGCAAAAGGCGCATCATTAACTTTATACATGCGCCCATCAGCAAATTTTACTCACCGCCATCTTCGATGATGGCGTTGCACTTGAAGCACTCCCGTGTTCTGTTGTGGTTGAGAGTGCCACAACTGGGGCAGTGACGACCGACTATGAACTCCTCACAGCCGCTGCATCTCTTCTTCGAGGCCGGATTCACATAGTGACACTTTGGACAGCTCCTCACAGCACCCACTCCTGACACAACACACACACACACACAACGCATAAGGAATACAATAAAGAGTAGAAATATAATAATCATAGCTTTGCGATTGCATTTCAGGCAAATTTTAAAGAGGGAGAATTGTACAGTATGTGTATGATTATGATTGCAAATCCATAAGTTAAATGTTTTATCCACAAATTTTGAACCCCGTGTTTGAAGAGACAAGCAAGCTTCTGACTCATCCACGAATGTTTGTCACTATCACAGGACTATTCCAGCAGCAAAGGAGAAAGAGAGAGGAAGCCATCATCTTGACCATACATATTTTCCTTACCAGCCAAGCCGTGATCGTCTAGAGGTTAGGACATTGCGTTGTGGCCGCAATAACCCAGGTTCGAATCCTGGTCACGGCAACCTTTTACTCTTTTTTATGGAACTTTTTGCAGCTTTCTCCTTTTCATTTTTGCTTTGTATGTAAATGTGGCGTATTTAAAGAAATTTTACCAACAAGATTCAAACTTTGGCCTCATTTAATAGGTTCAATGCACATAATTAAGTACACATCATTCATGACACTTGTACACACACATAATTATACGTACCAGATGTCTTTCCCTTCCCTAGTTTTCTGCTCTTCTGAGAGATCTTTCTGGCGAGACTGTGCAGAACTGAACCCCTAGGGACCAGGGGAGGGTACGAGGGTCGAGACGAGTGAAACCCTGTCATTAGTCCTGGAGGAGCTACCGGCCGCGATACCAGACGGAAACGAGATGTGAGTGCCTGGCGTGGAACCGAGACCATGAGAGCATCTTTGTCCCCAGCAGCAGTGGTGATAACCATAGAATGAGTCGTAGTTGGTGGTGGAGACGGTTGTGACGTGGTGAAATTGGATCTCCCTGAATCAATTCCACTACTGCCAAATGGCAGTGACCCCATCAACGCTGCTTGCTCTCTCATCAACATCTGAGTTGGACCCCACCGCTCCTGCAACCCCTGCCGTAATTGACCCAAATTGCTCGTACCCGCTGAAACCGAGTCCTTCTTACCGCCCTCCCCTGCGTCTTCCGCGTGTAATTAGGGAGTTGCTTCTGGTCCGAGTGTCGCAGTAAGAACACGTCGTACAAGACCTGTGGAGGCTCGATGCCGTACGAGCGAGCAAGCCTCTCCACCTCGGACACCCTGATGAGACCACAGACAGGGGAAGACTGAGGAAGGGCGTCCAGATTGATGAGTGCCTGACGGACGCTCGAGGCAGCGCGGATGCTCTTGATCTCCAGTTTCCTCATCCTCATCTTGAAGTTCATTCTCGTCACGTACTGCTTGAACAGGGCCTGGAATATCTGCAGTTTTACACACACAAAAAGCACGAATCGCAAACCAAATACTGTAGCTATGTATATACCCTGCATAGGACAACATACAGTATATATAACACTCTACTCAGTTTTTAGTGAGGGACAAGGAAAGGGGCGTCCAGTATTCGTGTGAAAGAAACACACAGTATTATAATGCACTGTAATGCAATTTCCTCTTCATTTATAGGTTATGCATGTTGTACATACGTATACACACCTGGTAGAGGCCCATGTAGTGTACTCTCTGACTGCCGATGAGAAGAGCCAGTCTCTGTGCTCCCCATTTCACCAGACAATACGTCCCATCAACTAATATATACAGTAATAGTATAAACACATTATAATAAGAACATTCTATGTTCATAACAAATAAAAAAGAGCAATAATATAATTATTATGGCAGTGGTAAAATATAATCGCTTTTGCTACAATGCTATATATGACCATAGTTTTGAGCAAAGCATACATATGCAGTATATGTTACGTTCAACAACATATCTGCAGATAGAAAATGGTTCCACATGCCAGCAGTGCCGTATACATACATAGGTACATGTACAGTGCCTTGCTGGAGCTTTGCAATGAGTGTTTAGCTGACCAGTGTTGGTCAAGCTTTGATCTCGCTCTGAAAACAAACTTTGTAGAGAACCGTGCATCACCATCATTAGCGTAATAGTACACTCAATATGTTTGGTGGGAAGGAAGAACCATGCACGATCTACAGGTATGTATATAATAATCACGAGACCTCACCGGTATTTGTGAAGCTGGACCCAGGATCAATAAGGTCTGGATGTTGGGGTACTCCATCGTGAGGGCTAACACTCGTGGCGGAATCATCATTTGACGATTTAACTGCCGTTTTAGAAGGGGAAGCCCCTTTAGTCTCCGACTTCGTTACGGGTTTGGTCCCTCCTTCGACTTTTACTCTTTTCCCTGCTACTCCAGTGGGGTAAGACGACCCCGAGTCTTGTGAGAATGGTTCGGAGTGTGAGGACTGTGACGAGTGAGGATGTGAGGATGGTGATGAGTGAGGATGTGAGGACTGTGAGGAGTGAGGGTGTGAGGACTGTGGGGAGTGGGAGGGAGAATAGTACGAGGATATGGAGGGGAGGAGGGAGGAGGAGGAGGAGGAGGGAGGGTGAGTGGCAGGGGCAAACCCAGCTGGAGTAATGATGGATTCCAGAGGCTCCTGAGAAGAATTGGGAATTGGAGCATACAAGTACATTACAATTCCAGTTAGTTCAGAGAGTTTCGCGTGTGTTTTGTGAAGTGTGCAGTGTGACAATGTGGGTTATGCACAATTGTATATAATACTATAGGTGGGCTCGCTTTGCAAAACGTACTAAACCATCAAGGCTCCCTTATTTGCATGTGTGCATGTGACAAAACTAAGTTTCCTTTACACGACATAGTTATTTGGAAGGTATTTTTTTCAGAGTTGGTACACACACACAAGTCTAGGAACGTGGGAAAGAAAGCAGATTCTGCAGTTGTCGCCTTGCCTTGCAGAATTTCCTGATCATCTGTATGACGGTGCCTGGGATCTGAATGTTACTGACTGCAGCCAACTTGACTGCTCCACTCAGACTCACCAACTTTGCATTCCCTGCAACAATCACACATAACACATACACATGTAGTAGTCACCGTTTTATGATGGTGTTTGTCTGTTTGTTAAGCAGAATCAAACAAGACTCGCGACTGTGTCAGATATACAAGACTAATAGTAGAGAGAAGAAATTTTGATGGTTAGCTGGTTTTCTCTGACAACTTACAGCAACAGCATAACTTCCGAATTTGTGTTTGATGCACGTCTACATGGCAACTATATATCCCATAATGTAGATTGGCACCTTTGAGATTAAAATTGCAACGAGGAATAACTGTGCCGGGTTTAAAAGCACTTCCATACAGATGTTAGTACATTTACCCGTGAATGCATCGAGGCTGCCTTTAGCTCTGAGGATGTGCATCTGTAGAGAGGTGGCAGGGAGGGTGGTAATGCCCAGTTCATTTCTCCTCTGGGCACTGACATGAGCTCTGTTATGGAAGATCTACCAGGAGAACGGTCAGCAGTAACACACAGACAGTAATAATACACGTGAATGCATCAACAGTAACCACCAATCACGTAATATGACACGGCATCACGAGTTTATAAAGGCTGTACAATTTAGAGCAGTTCAAAGCTACACATAGTATGTATACAATAGCAATGCATTACACATGCTATGGTACAGTGTACGTAGGTGTACTTTAGTATGCACTGTAAAATTTTCCCAATATGCACCTAAATTTACATATGTACGTATGGTGGATGACTGGATATGTATGTACGTAATACAATGTCTTATACGTTTCATGTGCCACAGCCATGTAATTATATATGTGTCTTAGTATACTGCGTGTCAATGCATGTGTATGTGTGTGACAGTGGACTAGAGGCAGACCTTGTCCACCAGTTCAGGAATGGCGAGGAATGGTTCAGCTCCACCCGGAGGACACACCAGAGTCAACCGATGCTCTCCCCACACCATAGCCACATAGTCCAGCTCTGGAGGGCATCGAATGAGAGAATATACCACTTGCTATAAACATGCTGTCACGGCTAGACTCTCCATCATCTTTATTTTTAACCTTTTTGGTGCCATGGATATCTGTTTAAAATTGATGTATAAAGTATTAGCGCCTAGTATTATAACCCCATATAAATTATTATCGACTTATGGAGGCTCCGGACACATTTATGTGTCTGTGGCTAGTTATGTGTTCATTTTGGTTTTCTTGAGAAAATTTTCTTGTAGCTGCATTTCATACGTAGCAAAACAAACAAGTCAACTACACTCAGGACAGCTGTATAATGTGCAACACTTGGCTAGCAAGATAACATGAACTAAAGTACATACTCTATTAGATTTCACCTGGGCCCTCGAACACTGGCAAAACTGCTTGAATATGATTACATGACAGAGCCAGGCTATATACTGTACCTTGGTCATCAAGAGGGGGTCCAGTGGTACTTAGGCTTCGCTTCCTCCCTCCTCCACCTTCCATCTTGACTGGAGTCCTCGGGTAATCAACACTGGTAACAACCGGGGGTTTCCCCACTTGGTTCAGTCCCATCATTGGATAATTAGTGGTAATTGGTGGGGGAATCCCCAAGACGTCGCGACCTCCACCGAAGTTCGACCGCTGGTGGTGAGGTTGGGGAGTGGGGTAGGGAGGGTGTGAGGGTGTGGAGAAGAGAGCGTGTGACGGTATGGGGAGTGGGTAGTGGGAAGTGGAGAAGGGAGGTTGTGAGGGTGGGGGGAACTGGGAGGGTGAGACGGATTGAAGCAACTGAATTGGCTGTTGGAAATGATCTGCGGAGAGCTGGGAGGAGAGGGGGAAAGGTGAGGATGTGATGGAGGGAGGATGGGAGAGGCGTGGCACGACGTGTGAGCTGTGAGTTTGGTGATGAGAGGTTGGAGCCGCTGGTGGGAGGGCGGAGAAGGGAGAGAGGTTGGTGGGAGGGTGTGAGGGTGTGAAGGAGGTGGAGGAGGAGTGGGGGAGTGTGGTGGAGACGTCTGGGAAAGAGGGAAGGTCCTCTAGAGGGAAGCCGTAAGAAGACAGAGGGTAGGAGGGAGGGAAGGTCATACTGTCCAGTCTCTCACTTGGCAGCTGGAGGTTACACATAATACGTATGTAGTCTTAATCGATCAATGTTGGAATTGTAATGTATAAGGTGTACTCTGCATTACACAGAACCTAAAGATTCCCACGGTATACTGTCGAGTCGAGGAACAAGTCACGATTATAGTGAGTTTGTTCCCTTCTCGGCGCACTGAGCATGTGCAGTATATACCTCTAATTGATGGGCTGGGTTACCACTATGCATTTACATTCGTGGTCTCCACGCAAGTATATAGCTCGCAGAGAGTCTGACATGGGCTAGCTACACTACTAGTACTGTAACCCTCGCTGCGCATGCACGCCGAGGGTTAACCACAGTTGGATCTTGCAGCACTAATCCCCATCTCGTCCAAATTTAGTTATCCCCTCAATTAAAGGTGTCAACGATTTTGCTTTTTTGGTTGAAAAATGAGTGGAAACAGAGACAAACCAACTACCCCTAATACTTTAACTACAGTTGGAGTATGGAATGGTTACATCTTCTATCTCGCAGCACTAATCCCTATCTTGTCCAAATTTCTCAAATAAAGGTGTCAATGATATTGCTTTTTTTGTTGAAAAATGAGTGGAAACAGAGACAAACCAACTATCCCCAAGGCTTTAACCACAGTTGGAGTATGGAATGGTTACATCTTCTATCCTGCAGCACTCCCTATCTCGCCCAAATTTCGTTATCCCCTCAAATAAAGGTGTCAACGATTTTGCTTTTTTTGTTGGCACAAGGTTGGAAAAGCGACAAACCAACTATCCCTAATACTTCAATGAAAAGTACTAGAGTGCAATCTCTCAGCGAACTGCGCATGCGCGGTACAACTAATTGATGGGCTAGGCTTTTAGTATGCGTTTACTCGTGGTCTCCCGCTAGTGTAGCTTGCGGAGAGTCAAATTATTCCAAGATGATATTATTATACCAACACATTTTACGCATGCAAAAGCAAAGCTCACTTTTCCCTCGGCCAGTTCAGCCAGTGGAGGAGGAGGAGAGGTCTTCCAGTGGTGGAACATCTGGCAGACATCTCTGGCAGAGAACAGGGCACACCGACCCGCCTTCCCACCCACAACTCCCTTGTTCTTGAGGAGACTGATCTCGGCCTTACTGGCATGCAGCACCGTTATACCATACGTCTGTGGTAGAGGGGAGAGAGGTTGATGTGTACTTTCATCTTGAAACAAAAGTACAGTGTATATACAAGGACTCCAGCTATATATATATAAGTCAAGGTTGTCAAATTATGGTTGGCCTGTCCTTCCCCGCACTTGCTTGCTAAAAGTACAATTAATATATACTAGGCCATCCTATTACTCTAACTGCACTCTTCAGCTACAGTCAAGGTATTCAGGATGGTTGGTTAGCCTGTCCTTCCCCCCACTTGCTTGCTAAAAGTACGAACAATTTAGGCCACCCTACATTTTCACTGCCCTCTTCAGCTACATTCAAGGTATTCAGGATGGTTAGTTCGCCTGTCCTTCTCCCCACTTGCTTGCTAAAAGTACGAACAATTTAGGCCACCCTATATTTTCACTGCACTCTTCAGCTACAGTCAAGGTATTCAGGATGGTTGGTTAGCCTGTCCTTCCCCCACTTGCTAGCTAAAAGTACGAACAATTTAGGCCACCCTATATTTTCACTGCACTCTTCAGCTACAGTCAAGGTATTCAGGATGGTTGGTTAGCCTGTCCTTCCCCCCACTTGCTTGCTAAAAGTACGAACAATTTAGGCCACCCTATATTTTCACTGCACTCTTCAGCTACAGTCAAGGTATTCAGGATGGTTGGTTAGCCTGTCCTTCCCCCCACTTGCTTGCTAAAGTACGAACAATTTAGGCCACCCTACATTTTCACTGCCCTCTTCAGCTACAGTCAAGGTATTCAGGATGGTTAGTTGGCCTGTCCTTCTCCCCACTTACTTGCTAAAAGTACGAACGATTTAGGCCACCCTATTCTTTCACTGCACTCTCCAGCGACAGTCAAGGTATTCAGGATGGTTGGTTAGCCTGTCATTCCTTCCACTTGCTAGCTAAAAGTACGAAAAGTTTAGGCCACCCTATTTTTTTCACTGCACACGCAAGCTACACATTGTAAAGGTATTCAGGATAGTTAGATCTGATACTTTGTAAGATAGATACACATGGCACGAAGTTCACGTACTCTTCGGATGGTCTCGAGGACGTCTCTACTGTGGGAGGGAAGGATTGAGGGCAGCTCCACCTTCAACAGGTAGGATTCACCAGATCTCACCACCACTGTTACTCTCCCTCCTCCAGCCAACGCCAACCGACGAATATCAACTGCACACACACACACACACACACACACACACACACACCACACACACACATGATTGTAACACAGACATCAATGTACTACACCTTGTTGGATATCCCTAGGTAACCGACATGTATGAAGCTATATAGGTACTGGGGGATTGTATCAGCCTATACAATCCTACATGAGCAAGCAGGGTTCATACATGTCGTTTGCCTAGGGATATCCAACAAATCTGTTCCAGTACCCAGACAGGACAGCATTCACCCTGTACTGCAACATATATTTGCCTTTCTACCTCGTTACCAAGTTGTTGAGACATCATCCATAGTTTCATGCTACTCTACTACAGAGTGCTATACAGGAAAGGGCCCTTGGGATTGTAAAGAACAGTTCTAACTGCTGTAAAATGTATGTATGTAACAAACTACACATGTAATGTCATACCCATGCACACGCACCTTCCTCGGAGGCATTGGCAGGACTGGAAGATATGTCACCACTTACACAAGACCCTCTGCTGCTAGGCCTCTCTCCCTCCACCGCCCCTCCCCCTCCCCCACCACCCAACAGCGATGCCATTCCACCTGACTGATTAAGGGTCGACCCCGTCACCCTGCTCACGTTGTCATCTCCTGTCAGAGACCCAAACGTCTGATTCCCAGAAAACGATCGCAGTACGGCCTCCGGATCAATCTCAGAAGTAATGGTACCAAATTTCGTCAGAATGCCCGGTGGTTCAACGTGAAAGTAGCGACAGATTTTGACAAAGTCCGCAATCCCCACGAAATGCGACGCGCCCGTCACCACCAACCCCATCTTCTTCATGGATGATATGTACGGCTCCGTGAGCGCTTCACTCTTCACCTGGAGTTTTGAGATTCTTGCCGAGAGGACGTTTCTCTTTAGGCCCGGGATGACCTTCTCGTAGATGTTTCTGACGGGAATGAAGAGTGGGAGCGACGAGTGACGATGTCGAGATAGAAATCTCCCCAGCCAAAGGCGTACAGGTCCAGACGATCTACTGGCTGGCTGTGGCCTGGGGGAGAAACGTTCAATACCACTGTGTCCTGACATTGGGGCACTATGTACCGTATGTACATATTATGTAGGTCACACTGAAACAGTACAAACGTGTTTGAGTGGCACGGGTGCATAAACATGGCAGGGCTAAGCTACAAACCTCAGACTGTTCAAGAAACCAACAATTGGATCAGGCCACTTCTTTGAACGTGTAATATTGAATGTCTCATGCATGAGAGCATTATGGATATGGATCAAACTGCAGGATGTACTGTAAGTATACACTTCCTCAAAAGGTGTGTATGTGAGCACTAGGACTGGGGGGAGAACAAGGAAAGAGGAAACAGAGCACTAGACTAAGCACAAGAATGTACGGTATCCACAGTGAAAGGGTGTCCCCTTACACTACTACATAGCAGTCCATGTTCTACATGTAGTATATATGTACACACACACATACCTGTAATACAGGCAACTTTGATAACCACATGCACATATATAGTATACATGTACATGTGAGGAATAAGGGGGACTGTATATATATGTACATGTTTGTTACAATCAACATTACGTGGACAGTTCACCACATTGGTTAGATGTATATACATTGGTAGTTTCACTATAAAAAGCACTCAAATTACTACAAATGTACATAATAGCGGGATAGTGCATGTGTAATGGAACACTACCTTTTTGGCACTCTGTATGTATGACCATTCTATACTCATGCTGCTGACCTGTCTGCATGACGTTGATCTGTCCTCTGATACTGACACCAGTGAACACCATTCTATTAGAATGAGTGTTGTACTGTCTCCTGGCCAGAGATCGCTTGCCTCCTCTGTTGGCAGAGGAGGATGTGGAGGGGGAGGGGGAGCTGGGTAAAGGCTGGACCACCGGGGGAGACGACTGGGCTGACGACACTGCCTCTGCAGAAGTGTGTGTGTGTGTGTTTTAGACATTGGGATTGTCAACGTGAAAGCTTGAAGGGAATTTCTCTAAATGCAGCTTGTATACAGACATGTGGGCTTCCATAATAGGATTCTCTGGTTCTGCCTGAAATGGCCAAAACACAACCACACTATAGTCACATGCACTTGCTTCTATATAAACTAGTACATAAGACGAAGTACAGTAATACATACAGTATGGTGGGAGGCTTCCGAGGGAAGGAATCCCCAGGTTCAAACCAATTCCCACACCACCAAATTCGACGACAGGTACATACATTTTTGAGTTGGACAACTGTCACTGGTTAGAACCTACAACAGCAACTGGCTAATAGACCTCCCTTCAATACTTGACTTACACAGTAGAAGTAAAAAACGGTTTATGGAAACACTGTGTTGGCAGAACGGTCAACGATTTTGAAAACTTTTTTTACTTCTACAGTACAATACTACAGTATACAGTCAGACCTCCCTGAGTAACACATTACGTCATACTACATACCGTCAGTTCCCATGTCGATGATGAGAGATCCGGGGGAGTAGTCACTGTCACTGCCAGGGTCCTCCACGTCTGACTGCTGCCGGCTGGGAGAACTGGCTTGGACATCTCGTCGGGAACGAGTACTGGCCATCTCTCTATGTGTAGCTACCACCAGCTGATACACACTGCTTCAACTGAGTAGCAAGATACACTGATTTCACCAAACAATGCTTAAAGGGAATGTGGCAGTATATATAAGGGCTAAAATATACAAACTTTACTAAAAACGGAACTCAATTGCTGTGCTCCTATTGTTTTGCTCTATCTTTAGGAACATTTCTAAACTTAGTCCTTATTACATATACTGCCACATTCCCTTTAAGCAGAGCACATTATAGCAGGTTACATAATCCTGCCCACAAGGTTGGTTGGCCTATTGCTCAGTGGCTGGTTCACACGACGGAAGGTTGGCACCCACTACATATGTAAGCTGAAGGCAATTCACACACATCATTTCTCTTCCCTCTCCACAATTACTATGCATCTTCAAGGTACACATATACACATTGCACACATTGTAAGGTATAGTGTACAGTGTTATAATCAGCAAAGGGCAAAAAACATTACGAGGTATGTTAACCAAGACTTTTATACGCACGCACGCATCTCAACTACCAACGAACATAACATGACAAACACAGGTTTTCCCCATTCGCAAAGTGTATACACACCACACAAGTCTTATACTCTGTTATTGTACTTGTTTGGAGGTGAAGGCTTTAGGCTTTGATAACACAGGCACATACAAACCCCCTCAAAATAAGTGTTCTTTAAAACTTGCTTTCTATGTACATGTATAAGTAGTTCTCATTGGGGCAGCAAGACACACAAAGACACACAAATTTGGCATGTATGGCATTCAACTATCACTATACAAACCAGGCTACGTGTATGTATGTATGTACAACAAGGCGTACAGCCAAAATGCACCACAGAGCAAAGTGTGGCAAGAGTCAGCCTCGAGATAACTAGCTATACATACCTACAAAAGTTGACCATCACTAACCATGGAAAAACAAGACCTACATTTTACACACACACACACACACACTCACTAGCAGGCAAAACTGTAACTATAAACAGTACAGCTATATCTATCTAGAAGGTGACAACACAGTCAAGGCAATGAGATTGGCGGCCATTTTGTTTGGTGTACTTCCAAACACGTGAATAACTTGGCCAGCCAGCTAGCTACATCTTTTTCACAATCACTCCACCCAACTTGCCTAACTTTCCAAGGGGGGCCATTTTTGAGACACTTCCAACCACTATTTCATCTCCTGCCGGGGCACCAACTCGAGCATGTGACACTATTACCACCATATAGAGGTCAGGGCACAAAATATTCAATGACCACACAAAAAGATGGGATGCCCTTCCAGAGTACATGTATTGGGTTCTAACTTGTCAGTGTCACCATCTGGGTCTTTAGGGGTTGTCCAGAGTTCAGGTACGTCTAACTATGTCTCTCTCGCGCAAAAATGACTTCTTCTGGGCCACCAGCACTCAAAAGACGTTTCTGACCCTAACCGTATCCTAATTCGTCCGCTAAAATTCGAGCGGGCAAGGGGTGCACCACCCACAAAAAATATGAGTGGTGTGTCCACCTTGCACCCTTCTTCGCGAGGCAGGGTTGTGGTTCCATCACTAAACGGCGTTCCTTTGTACTGAGCGAGGAGATGGTCTTCTTGTCAACGATCTGTACAAAGCCTAAAAGCTTCTCAAGAGCGCAGCGTGCTGGGAATAGTATACGGACGTAGGCGGAATTTATTAACCACACTAACATTACGTAAGGCTTTCGTCATCTCTCATAAACGCATGCGCCTAGCTCTATGTGGGGACTTTCGAGAGGCGATGGTGAATAGCAGCGAGGGAGCTATTATAAATACCTGGTAGGGAATAACTGTCAACGGTCTTTGCACAGTAGATGCAGAGGACTTACTGTATTATAGACCAAGAATGAGCGACAATCGAAGTGCGTAGCTACCGTATACTGAGATATGTCTATGTGTAGTTTATCCACCAATGGAGTTTTTCTGCGTTCTATATATGTAGCTAACTGACTAGCTTGTTTCCTACTGTACTACGTGCAGGTAAAGAGTTCAACCTAAAGAATATCGTAAGAGCCATCCCAGAGGTCACCAGCTGGCAGGTCCTGGGACTAAACCTCGACGTCCCTCGTCACAAACTGGAGGAGATTCAACTCTGCTGGCCACGCAGCATCACACACTGCAAGATAGAGGTGATATCTCACTGGTTGGACAACGATCTGGAGGCTTCGTGGAAGAAACTTGCCGATGCTCTCGATGAGGAATATCACTCTCTCGCTGCCCGCATTCGGAGAACCTATGTTCCGTCATGTTCTAAGGAGGGGAAAGAGGCTGCAAAATACAGGACACCTTCGCCACTAGCAGCGCTCCACTCTAGGACTAATCCTTTCACCTTTACACATCTACAACCTCCTGTTGTGAGTTGTATATACTTCATTCTAATGTACAATTTTAATGTGTATTCAGTATAAAGCCAGATTTGTATGAAGAATGAACCATTTTTATTACTATACATGCAGGTTAGGCAACCATCTGGTCAGCAAATACCTCGCGACAATGAGATGGGACAAAAGAGGTATATACTTATGGTATGATATACTTATGGTATGATACACTTCGCAAGTCAACATGAAAAGTGTATTTATAGCATACTATATAGCCACAGAGAATAGATAAGAAAGAAAACCAGAAGTCTTCTCGTAATAATTATGCTAAAAGTGCAAAACTCTCCCCCTTGAAAGTTTTTGCTGAATCGACTTACGCTTGATTTTTTGTTCTGCAGGCAACAATTTCAGATGGACAGCAGTAGTAGAAGTATTTTCCAATGCCTCTTTTGCGGTAAGGTTGAAATGTTATCACTGACCAACTGTTGGGGGAATAACCTGGGTATTTTCTTAACAGATCTGCTTTGCTGACCATACATTCCATTCTGATTATTAGTTTATACAATGCTGTCCTTATTAGCACCTTAGCTTGCCATGTGTCAATTGGAGGTATGTCATTTCATGCCTTGTTTTTGATTCTAGGTAGTTTCCAGTCAATTGGAAAAGGAAGTGACATCACTAAAGGTATTTTACAGAAACCATGCTTACTACTATTATGCTAACAGCATGACAATGACATGGACGTTCAAACCTTAAATAAATTAAAAAACCTGATTACGTGTAGTACATTATTTCTAGTATAACATGTGTCAACAACGAGGTAATGAGGTAGAAAGGCAAGTGAAAGGAAACAAGTCACCCAGAACATGCCCTAATGGATTCAAGACTAATTGCTGTGGAGGTTATAATGTCCCACTCAGGGACAGTGTGGTTTGCATACCCCATGCTTTGTTCATAGCACACTACAATTGGATGTAAAATATTGTTGAGTTTTGAAAAAATTTTCGAGAGCTCGGGTGAAGTCAAATAGACCTTAGCCATGTAGCTATAGAGTTGTTGATACCACAGGTACCAAGAGAAGATATGTGGAGTTGCTGCAGAAATCTCCGACTCCTGACAAGATGTTGCAGAACCTACTGCAGGGGACACTGGATGCCTTCTATGTGGGGGAGGAAGGGAGAACTCTGCTCCACTTTGCTGCCATTGTGGGTTAAAGTTAACACCTGCTCCATGTGTAGCATGTCCCAACAACTTGGTAATGAGGTATGTAGAAAGGCAAAGCAAGGCAAACAAGTCGAAAAGAAAGAGCTGCCCTGGGTGGGATTGAAACCCACGACACTCTGCAGTCTAGGCGAGCGCTCTACCACTGAGCTACCAAGGCAACTCAGCTGGTAGGGGTTCGAATCTATGATAAAGTAAACCTCAATGACACATATGTAGTGGAGAGCGTGACAGTTTGTCTTTTTCTTCTGGCGTATTTTTAGAAATTGTGCAAACGCATTGGGTGGAATCTTTTGTCTTTCCCCTGTAGTAACCTTCTCATCAATACTGTCCTCACTATTATACAACTATGAAGAAAAGCAGTTACTGTAATGTCTGTATATACGGAGATTTTTCTTTCACAATCACACAGCATTGCTCGGTGGAGAGTGTGAAAGCACTAGTTGCATTCAGAGGCCCTGACGTTAACCCCATCAGTGCTGAGGGGACGCCTCTGGATGTGGCCGGAGTCAACATACGCGATGGTAATGATAGAATGCTCAGTGGGAATTTTGCCGTTCCAGGCATCACAGGATTGAGTTAACTTCTTTTGTGTCACTTTTTACTTAGTATGTTAACAATACTGGTTCTGGAATGTTTCCCTCTAGTGTTTTGGGCTGGGACCATTTGAGAGGCAATGCAAGCAATCCACGAAAATTTTATCTTCAAATTTCCCCCTGAATTGCAAGATTGTTTTCTCTCAAAAGTGTTTTCCCTCTCGCTGTAGTACAGTAACAGTTATATATGTCTGTGTGTGTAAACACTGGTTCAATGTGTACATTGTGAACTCACGGGGTGGGTGACTGGTACTTTCATTGTGATGTCATGACTGAGACACCTAGAGTAAGGGGATTTTGTAGATAGATAGTTGTAAGGGTTGACCCCAATTTTCACTTCCTGTCCGGGTGAATACCTGAAACAGGCTATAGTGTGTTTGTTGAAAAGAAGTTTAAGAGAGAAAATGAGATAGTGAGCAATTTCTGTCTGTCTGTCTCTCTCTCTTTCCCTCCCTCCCTCCCTCTCTCCCTCCCTCCCTCACTCACTCTCTCCACCTCCCTCCCTCCCTCCCTCTCTCTATGATTGTAGATCAGATAAAGAGTCTGCTGCGAAGTGTAGGTGGAGAGAGTTACTTCACACTGGCCAGGAGACAGGAGGCAACAGTCAAACTCCCCAGATCAGAGGGTCAGCCTCAACTAAGTAATTCATGGCTTAGGAAAACTTTCTCCCTTTAACTGTCCAACCACTTACTACAATGTATATACTAGAGTACAAGGAAGGCCTCACACGCACACAGCATGTAATGATACACATATTTGCACGTAATGTGTTGCATATTAACAAACTGCGTACCACGCAAACATTCTTCAGCAACCTCATGCCAGGTGCCATTATGGTCATACGTGCATGGCTGTAGATACATATACAGTAGAACCTCTGATACCTCTCAAGGACACAGTTTGAGGTCTGAAATGTTCACTTTTCTATTATTATTATCCTATGCATTATTATAACTTCTGAAGAGAGGACAATCTCACAGGGTAAAATGCCTTGGTCACAACCTGTCGCATTCAGAGGTTCTACTGTAGTTTGAAAGGACAACCTCCCTATAAAGGACATGATGCCTGGTCTTAATGTGTCAGAGGTTCCACTGTAGTTTGAAAGGACAACCTCCCTATAAAGGACATGATGCCTGGTCCAAATGTGTCAGAGGTTCCACTGTAGTTTGAAAGGACAACCTCCCTATAAAGGACATGATGCCTGGTCCCAATGTGTCGGAGGTTCTATTGTAGTTGCATATCTTTTGTTGCTGGCAGGGTCCAGAATGTTGGTACTAAACAGCTCAGGGCTATCTTCCATTCTCCACATTGAGACCCTGCAGCAGTTGGAGAGAGTGTCAGGGAGAAAGGTGTTTGAGATGTTTGAGTGGGTTGTGGCTACTGGACTCTCTGCTCTCTTCACACTCCTCATGGTCTATGGTATGACGCACGCTACTACAATGACTAAAGCATTGGCCGTTGAGATAGTGTTAAAGCTTTGCCACAAATAATATGTACGTGTAGCCAAAACAAACAAACAAACGAACAGTAATGTATGGAGAAAGCACACTATACGTATCCCTGTAGGTCGCAAGAGCTTGGCTGACGCGAGGCAACTGTACTTCAAACTGCGGCAGAATGTTCTCCAGCACAAGCCCTGTTCTCATGCACTCGGCGAATTCCTCAAGGCCTACCTTGCACCTGAAATGAAGATGAACACTGCCAAGGAACCAAAGTCTGTAGCTATATCATTCACAGGCTCTGTAATCCATCTGCATTCTGGTTATACTTAGGATTCTGCTCCCGACAATGTGCAAGACGGCAACGGGGGAAGTTCAGATCCACATCTTCAACAACTGCCTCCAGGACAGATTCTCTGAAAGTGAATAATAATTATTACAGGGTACTACCTACTGGTATTGTAGGTCTGGTTTAGTAGTGCAATATTATCACACGATTGGATGTGTAAATTGAGTATGTAAATACGTGTATATACCTTGTACAAATCCAGAGTTTTTGAGTAATAAAGCCAGCAAGTTGCGGGATCTGTGGGAACAAAGATATGATTTTTGAAATAGTCAAGCAGGTCAGGTTTTGCTGAGAAAAGCATGTCCCAAGCAAGCTGCATTGATAATGTGTAGTCCACCAGTACAATACAGTATGTAGAAACTTGTATGAGATATCGTTTTGCAGTGGTGCTGTGTATTGTTTTCATGTGTTAGTTCCAGTGTGGAAGGTGGCTCGCTATCTCTGCTGTCATTCACCTCATGTCCCTGAGCTGGACGGCTACCTCTCCCGGCGAGACTCCGCCCACCTCAATATCCCCGGTCTCGGACTCCGTAGAGCGAGACAGTTCTACAGAGAGAGAGGAGAGAGGGAGGACAGGATAGCGAGAGTGGTGCGACTAGAACACGGCCAGTTTGATAATCATCATCCTCAACTGTTGGATCCCATCACTGCTGTATGCTGTGTATTATCTGTGTGTATACCATGTATAATATAGTGTGGTAAAGTGGCAGGGTGGATGACTATATATGATAATGTTCGTGCCCTTAGAAGTTTCCTTTGTGTGTGTAATAATATATATATATATACATATATATATTTGTGGGACCATTATACAGTCAGTGTAAGTTTGGCGTAATAAAAGTAACACCTTTGGGATATCGAAAATGTCTTGGGATTTCACAGTATTTAGGGATACATTTTAGAAATTTTACTAAAGATAGGACCAAACACTAGGGTGTGCAAAAGTCATTATTATTTTAAGTTTCCATTATTGGTTTACAGTTGCCACAACATGATCACTGCAAGCCTTTTTTATTTTCAGGAGGAAGACATAAAGGATGGAACGTGTTTTGTGTTTAACCCAGTTCTACCTTGTCCACTGTTTCTCTCACTGAGTGTCGACGACACAGACGTGGTGGACTGTGTGATAGAGACCATGAGGCAACTGTCTAGTAAAGTAGACAACCTTGTCAAATTTCTCCAATGAGCAGCATTTTTTAATTGATGATATATGACGAGCTACGAGCGGGCGAACGGGACTAGTGCGCATGCGCTCTGGTTTGGGTCACGTGCGCGCCCGTCTTACCAGTTTTGCAGGAGCGGCGGGAACAACAACACCGATATTTTGTTCACTGGTCACTGCCTCCCGCTCCTGCCGCCACCACGACATTGCATTTTGTGAAGACTGGCCGTACATTGCCTGGACCATCACCTAAAAGCTGGTCATCTATTGCTAGCTATGCAATGCTTCTTGAAAAAACGTGCCAAAGGTACGTTGGATGTGCTGATAGCCTATAAACATCGTAATTTTTGTTCGACCGGTGTGTTAATAATAAACGTTCTGTGGCTCTATACCATACGGCTAAATATTATAAGATCTTCGCTTATGGGCACGCGAAACCAACGCGATTTTTGCGGCTGTTTCGCCCGGAGGGGTTTCATCTGTATCACGCATGCGTATTTATATTCGCAGCACGAGACCGACCGCACACGTACGTACACATGTTATGTACGTAGACAGTGTCGCAGAGTAGCCCGCAGCGACTTCGCTATAGTTGAGATCCGTAGTTCAATAGTTAGTACAGGTGACTGACACGACCAAGTGGTGAAATGGTGCGGCTCTTCTATATCTACTGTAACAGAATGTTCTAGAATGATGTGTGAACATGTACATGGTGGCATCTGGACCGTTAGACTGTTCTAGAACTCCCTAGTTATATAGGTGCGATGCAAGTGATGTATATCATGCACTATCAGTCCAGGAAGCTATATACTTGAAGTTGTAGGATAGTTCTAGAAGCTTCAGTAATGTAGGCTGACAAGTGTCATTCTCCAACAGTTACAACTGTCAGTTGAAGCCTGCATGCTATATAAGATATTGGCATAAGGTTCAGTATATCTTGGGATGGGGCTGTAGTCTTCCAGTGAGCCAAGTCAGTGTTGCCATTCATACAGGAGACTTTGAGAAGTGGTTCCCTCACCACAATTGGATCCTGGTGCTGTCTCTGCAGTTGGTCATCTGTAGTTTCTGGTCTGCCGTAGCTCCCTCCATCTACCAGTTTATCACCACTCCACGGTCACTTCCTGATGAGCTTGCCCAGGTATATAACGACATGTACTATATACATTCATGCACTATTAGTCCAGAGACACACTGGCTAATAATAATTGGGGTTGATTAATTCACTCGTGAGCTGGCTAAGCTGCCAATGAGTAGATTCAAAGTATGTTGCTGCAACTGCAAACATATGGTGCTTGTTTTTATAATAGGTGCTTGGCAACTTAGCTTCAAAGTATGTATAGCTAGTTTACAGTACTTCTTTATGCACCAACATGTGGTGTATATATAGACACAGCGTTCTGTATCCTGCGCATGGTTCATCAGGTATGTGTAGTCTCTGTCTAGACCCTGCCCCAGGAGAGAAAAGACTCTTGAAAATTCGTGTGCTTTGTTTCTTGTGCCAAATTCGACCAGTAGCCTTTGTTTGCAGTTATAGCCAATGAAATCGCTTAACATCATAACTTACGTCTGATTACTGCTTCAGCAGCAATAATATCCAGACCTTTTTACTCCTGAGACCGCCACCAGACTGTAGGTGTGCCTTGGTAACATACCTGCCAACTGTCCCGATCTGGTCGGGACAGTCCCGATATTGCTACGTTAACCCGACGTCCCGCCCACCGGTGCTGGAATCCCTCGTTTGTCCCGACATAAACGAGCGTTCCATCTGCCACACCCATGTAGTGTACGACGCATACGCGCACACAACGCAGAGGTGCTCCTCTGGACCTAGCGATCACTCGGGAAGGCGGGGCTCAGTGCGGGAAACAGCGAGCGCGTGTACCGAGGGGTTGATTTCTGATTGCAACTTTACGCTGATTTCCAACTGATTTCTATGGATTTCTGACCATAAGTGTACGAGATTTCCACCCGTGTCGCACCCCTTGGCGTGTACTCGACAATCTACAGTGAAGTATGGCTGGCTCGTGTCTGCCGAATGGAGGAAGGAGGAAAACCGTGAAAGACAGTTGTGCATGGAGACGGGACGGTATCCCCCCCCCCCCTCGGTTGTTTGGATGTATTTCAACCTTGTCCCTATCTTGCACGGCCAAAGATTGGCAGGTATGTGGTAAGCATTCAATTTTTTTAGCGCGTATTTAGAATCACATAAACGTTACGGTATGTTGGTCCACTCACCCGTTGACACGTCTCATGCAACAGAGTTGTGCCGTACATTTGGCTCAGTGCTGGGCTTGACCAGCAGGAGTGGGGAGGGGCCTAGGCTCCAAACCACGAATGTCTGGGTATGGTCAGCAGCACATACCAAAGCCTTGTGGGGATGAATCTCATTTGTTCAGAACCACAAGTGCTGCGCTCCTGGTAGCCTTTATGAACTCGTGATGCCAGAGAGAGAGAAGTTGCGGTATGCTCTAGCTACTGATGAGGGCCAACAAGCCCGAAACAGCTGTCCAGAGCTCCACATCTTTTTTCTCTTGGCAGCACATGGTCTAATACCTTCATGTGTATGTTGGCCCCTTCACAGAACACCAGCACGAGGACCTGGCCTGGTCTCGGTGGATCAGACACTGACTATGCCTGGGCACTCACTTTTCCACCCCTCTGCGAATTTGCCGTCTTTCCGCTCGCGCTGTGGATGACACGTCGTGTCCCGTTCACCATCCCTCTGCTAGTCGGTCTCTCTCTGCTTGTGGTCTCTGGGGCCATGTATGCCCTGTCGAAAGACGTGTGGTTCCTCATCGTCGGTCGTGGTGTAATGGGCATGGGTGGTGGACTGAGTATCCCAGCACTGCACACATACATGGGAGAGATGGGTACCGCGATGGATCAAGTCAGAGAGAAGCAGGGGAAAAAGCCTCGAAAATTCGCCGTCTACATTGCATTTTCGTTCATCATGAACGGCGGATGTGTGGTTGCATTTGGTGAGTTTTTTTATAAACGTGTGTGTTGGATAAGTATACTGTGTATGCAAATGTATCTTTACCTGTTGCACTTATTATTTGCAATGCAGCTGGCACACATTTCACGGATCACTGAGCGTGTCAGTGCATCAAAGAGATGCTGTGTAAACCTAATCTTTGTATGAATGTCTCCCACTGATCTTCTCCCTCGCAGTGTTCACTTCGATTGTTGCACAGTTCCCCAATGTTAACCCCTATCACTGGCCAGGGTGGTTAATGCTATCTCTAGCCGCCACACAAGGCCTCGCAATACTTGTCTTGTTCTGGGAGCCTCGGCCATTCACCACACCCAAAATCCCTCACTTGATGAGTCTCTCCTCCTCGAAATTGTCGTTCAAGCTCACCGGTCGGTGGAAAAGGTTTTTCTCCGTATCCTTCAGTAAAACTATCTATAATAGCCTAGAGTTTGTAAACATTTGTGCTGGGATGTAAATTTTAGCAAAGTTTTCTCTGCGAAATTGCCGTTTGCAACCTAAACGTGAACATAAGTAAATTTGAGAATTCAATTAACACCACACATGTGCATGTGGTAAGGCCTACCTCTTAAGTAATGTTGGTGTATGGTGGGCTACTGCTTACAATTTTGTGTATGGTTGCATCACCTATTGTGTTAGCTCTGCCTGTACTGAGCTGGTAGTCTTTGTAAAAATGCCAGGGGTGTGATTCTCACCAGGCACTTTTTGTCTTTGGGAAAGTGGTGTAACGTCCTTATAAGCTTTGCACTTTCATACCTCTGCACAGCTATTCATAGCTGAATAGTATGGATATTGGGTTTCCAACTGTTTTCTGTAGCACCTATCAAAGGATTCCCCCGCTAAGACTTCCTACACATAATATATTATATAGTAATACTTAAAGAGGTTGGTGTGTAGTAGAATACCAATACCCCTTGTATGGTATAATACCTGGCTATACAGTTACTCTGCACTGAATAATTATATAGAAATTTTGGGCTGTCATAGAAATCTGTACCAACTGTAGTATATACCTTGCCCTTAACCCCAAAAAAATACAGTATGTGTTTCTGATTGGCTGTGGATACATCTCGGGGCAGTTTTATGCGCTGATATTCACTCTGGTGACTCTTATACTGAACGATCAGTTTGGTTTCACCGTGGAGTACAATTCCCACTTTCTCATTGGAGTCTCTGTCACTTTCTGCCTGAGCAGCTTCATACAGTAAGTATATCATCTTCTGGGCTGTGCACTGAGGGTTTGAACCTTTTATACTGAAATCAGATATCTTCTTTGAATTGACGAGTTGCACCTAAGAGCTGAAATTATATGGGGGTTTGCACCTATCAGACATCTTCTTTGTTCGGTACTGAAGTACTCCCTTCCCCATTATACTTTTATGCCACTGGTAGTCTGTATGTTTAATCTAAGAACTCAATCCATGAGAAGCAGCCCATACCTGTAATTACGGCAGAGATGTGGCCATTGGTGGTTCATTTCACAGGTTGGGAGTGAAGATGGCAAAGATGGACAATAGGAATGTTCTGGGGTTCCTCCTCTTACTAGCACTCAGTGGATCTCTTGTTCTGGGAGACTGGCAGTCTCTTGGTCAAGATCCCTGTTCTATCACCAACATCACCACCATTGATGACTATGACTCTTCCGGAGCTTTGCCTACCAGTGAAAGCACATCTTACAGTGGACATAATGCAACAGGGGAGTTCCTCTCTGCGACAGAGGGTTCCGTGATAACTAGAGAGATGTGTGAAGCTCTGGGGAGCACCGGACACAGGTGTTTCTGGAACCCACAGTCCAGAGTGACTGGAGTGCCTTGCTACACTTGTTTGCCAGTCTGTTTGAGTCGCGCCAAGTCTCTCTGCTTCTATCAGTTTTCTCTCGGGGTGTTGCTCATTTCCATCGCAACTCCCCTCCTTTTTGTGTTCACTTCTGTCATATCGTCTGATATGATGCCAGTAGGATCACAGGTGAATAACAATAAGTATTGTAGTAACTATGTAGCTCTACCTGCTTGTAATAGCACCCATGCAGGGAATCCTTCTTTGGGTGTAGTTGATACTACTATCAGTCTATGCATGCACTTTCTAGTGTTCACTAACAGAATTGAGTATTGAACCAAGTTACATCACACACACTGACATAGTACAGTAAAAATGTAGTTGTTTTGCTACAGTTGTGATTTGGGTCTAATGTTCTTTACCTACTACAATAATATTACAGGGAACTATCTTGACTCTTGTTTTAAGCAGTGGTACCGTGAGTAGAGGAGTTAGTCCATACTGGTGTGAGTCCTGCTACTGCCTCGTAGAGGGCCTGGTTACATTATGTGCATGATGTCATTATTACAGTGCATGTGGGTAATATAATAGACAGATTAGATATCAGTGTTGTGTTCACCTATGAATTATTCAACAGTTATTGAAAGTTACAAGTTGACTGGTAGACACACCTACTTTGCCATGGCAGTCACTTCTGTCTGTTTGTTGGTCCTGCTACTGTCTCTGGTGGTACTGCACAAGGATCTGGCTCCTGCCTCTCACAGCCCAGCCATTGCCAGACACAAACATGTAGAACAGTTGTCCAGTATGTTGATGGTGCAATCTTTACACTCATACTCAATCAAATGCTAGTGCATAACCAAATACTGCTGGTAACACTAATGTGCCAGATTCATGTTTCGTATCTTCCCCTGCTATCTCTAGCTCACCCCTATTATGTAATTTGTGTTATATATATAAGAATATTTTCTGTTCTTTCTATGCAGAAACCAATGATGTTTCAATGGATCTTGTGAACTCTCATCATGTAGAGTACAAAACATGACTGATAGCTTATGCTGTTTAGTTTACCCATGTCATGAAACCCACTGTCACAGTCATTTCAAATACTAATAGCTACATATTATAGTGATGATATTTTTTTCACTGGGCACAACTTTATACATAATTTCACTCTTTAAATTAACACGTCATTAAGTAGTTACTTTTCATGTAGCTATGGCATGAGAGTAGGCCTGTGCGGATTATTCCTTGTTTTTGCCCTATTATGTTGTCTTGTTGCGCGTATAATTAATATATAGTCGCAGAAAACGTGGTAAAACACACAGACAGTGCGGACACACTAACCCTCGCTGCACATGGGTGCCGAGGGTTACTTAGTAATCACCAAGCACAACTTATAGATACACATACCAATTTAGATTCTGTCTCTTTGGAACCCTGTACAACAACTGGACTGTAGCAAAGACTCTTGACCTGGCAGTTCACAGGACCATAATTATTATTGTTGACAGCACAGTGACATTAGCCATTTTAGGCTGGGTGTGGAATTCACAGCCAACTATTATGTAGAGAGCCTCCCAACATTTTTTTCCTAATTTCCTTCTCAAATGGCTCCCAAGGGAGGTGTTTACTTGTTCTCACAGTGGAGTTTTGCATTGATAATATATAAGGTCTCGTTTCTCCTGTTACAAGTGTCTCAGTATCATCTTATTTCCTTTAATAGCTATAGGTTTGCGCTCGTCTTTTGGTCGAAGTAGTAGAAACCATGGTACTCCTGACGGATCTTGTCGTAAGAATTCTTGTCGGTGTTCTGGTACAGAGGGCTACCTCCGTGTCCGCTGCTGTAGGACACACCACGCTCGCCACTTACAATGCCGGCCTTTTTTCTGGCACCATCGGAAACGTGGATGATAGACTTTCTGTTCTCATCGATCAGGTTAGCCTGGTGCAAGAGTGAAAATCTGTAGAAATGCATGCTTGGATAATGCACTGTTGCAGATTGCTCAGAGTAACGTTGACATTTTCTGTCTGCAAGAAGCATGGACTGCCGACGTCCAGAGGAAGATACGCAGGGACCTGAAACCATTCTATCCCTACGCTCTGAGCGGAATAGACCTTGATACAGAGCCAAGTGACACGACCACTCCATCCTGTCCTCTGAATGGTCTGGATGGATATTTCGACTGCAGAGCACAGCGCTGTGAGGGGCTGACTGGGAATCAATTTGGAATATGTGGGGTTCTAAGGTAGAAATGTAATTACTTTGTAGTCCACATTAAGTAAGCTTCGTTGGTCAATGGAGCCACTTTTCTCACCGGCTGAGTGAAGGAATATGGTAGAAACAACTGGTTAGTAGGTAAGCCCTACAACCAGTCCAAAACGATACTCGGGTGAAACGAGAGGGCAGAAAAATTGGCAACCGTGAATACATCCTGGCCCTTATCACGTTGACCAATTATTCAAAGTAAGCCATATCACATATGTGCAGCCATGCGTCTCTTGTATGATCACTAAAAATTGTTGTAGCTATACACTGAGCAGGTACCCTTGTGTTTCTGTCACAACCATGTTACGTACTATTATTACACAGCTGCTTATCGGAGTTGGCCAACCTACCAGAGTCCTGTATTCTTTGCTTATTCTTGGAAGTGAACATTAGCAACGAGACAGAGTGTCTCACAATTACTGCCAGCAACTTTGAGAAGACTTATGGACTCATGCTACTCAGCAAGAAGGAACTCATTAACTCTACAGCCAACCCATTTACTAACCATAGTCAAATCAGAGGTTATTTGACAGCGTCGGTAAGTATCGCAGGTTTTTAATCAGACCATTGACTATTTTTCATCAGTGTGTATGTACATGCACGTAAGGGAAAACCAGAGCTGGTTAATTTACGTAGAAAAGGAATCTGAACAATAATTATGTTGTAATCAGCAAGAAATGAAGCTTTAGCAAGTCAATAGATGATGCCATACAGAAACGCATAGTTTGACATTAGACTCATATTCCCGAGAATTCCTTTGTGGCTCTTCCCCTAGAAACACAATCTGTGGGTCACTATGCAATAACTCCTTGTGGTTAGCGAGGTGTAAATATTTATACCCGAACACAAAAGTCGAGAGTTAGCTATAACCCAGGTGGAGGGCAGTATTTTTGTGTAAAACACCAGCAAGAAATGGTTCATAAGATGCGTGACACAGTGCACATTGGTTCATCTAGTTTTCCGTCTGCTTTAGTCGCTTAAAAGACTGCTCTCAGATCCTATTTTAAATGTAAAGCAGGAAAAGACCGGTGTCCGATGGTTCCCATGCAACAACTATCTGTGGTGAGACTTTGACTATGAAGCTAGCTGCTAGTGAACGAGGTAACTGACCATCTCTTTGACTTGCAACATCAACAAAGAGAGATGATATAAGTAGCCCGTGTCAGACTCTCTGCGACCAACTAGCGCGGAGACCACGGGACGGGTAAACGTACACCCATCAATTAGCGGTACCGCGCACACGTCATTATTGCATGGTTTTACCATGGTGTCTATTGATCTGTCACTCCATTCACATGTCTTATGGTATACTACTGACAGAGGGAAGTGTATAATACTATTATTAACCCTCGGCGCGCATGCGCAGCGAGGGTTACGGTACTTGGGTCTGTGTGTCTGTCTGTCTGTTACTCGTCATCTCACTTCTCGAGTGTTCGTTCGTCTCACAAAGGATACCACCTACTGAACGGGCAATGAAGGTCAGAAATTTCGAACGGTTTTCTCTGAAAACGCTCCGTTGCAAAGCTAGAGCGGGAAAAAGCCAATATGCAAATACACAACGGCTTACTACGGCATGATCGATCCGCGTGCTCTGCGTACCTCGGAGGCACCAGAAGATGCAACGCAGGGCGTGTATCGCCTCTCGCATGCTATCTAGTAGTGTAGTTAGCCCGCGTCAGACTCTGCGCGAGCTGGTAAGAGACCACGAGTAACAGCTAAAACTAAACCCAGCCCATTAATTAGTGGTACTGCGCATGCGTTTACTTACGCGCGTGCGTCACATTGCGCCGAGGGTTTGCACTTCAGTGCTTTTCATTATGCCATGTACAATTTGTGGTGTCTTCTTCTCACGCACATAGTTATGCAATATTATGGTGATCCATGTAATTAGCATGCCACTATACCAGGTTGGTGGTGTAGGTGACTTGGTATGTACTCATTTATCCTCTCAACTTGCTCCTCCTCCTCTCTATGGTGAGCAACTGCCGCATACAGCTAATTCGCTAACAGACTCTAACCCACCCCGATGTTTCCTTTCTCTAGTTGGTCCTCCAGTTGTCGTTCCATTTCTCTACTCCTCTTATGCCGAGCAACATAGCAATGAGTTGATGACACTTTTTGATGTGATTAAGAAATCTGGAATGCAGACCCCCATTCTTCTTGGAGATTTCAACCATGGCCCAGCTAGAACAGGTATGCAGTAAAAGTCCAAGATGCCCTAACATGGACTAGCATAGCTACTATTGTTCTAATTACGAAGATAGTTTTGACACAACTGCACATGAGTTTCGTTGCATTGTTAGTATCACACCTTCAGGATTTGTACCTATTTCCCTGCAGATGGTGTGGTGGCAGAATTCCCGTTCTACTATGGTCTCATGAATGCCCGTGGCTTTGTCACTCCCTATGTCCTAACAGATGGTCGCTGCACCTTCTGCATTGACAACCCTCTTACTGGTGGTCTCTTTCCAGACACAATTATTGACCATATTTACATCACAACGGACACCACTAAGAGAGTGATATGTGCTAGAGTGGGTCTCAGTTTCTCCTACTTGCTATAAAATGACACTTAACCAGCCACAAACACATTAATGCCTCCATAATTCTTATACATGGGGGTTATACTATAGGCACTAATGCTTTATACTGCAGATACTCGTGGCATCCAAAGAGGTAAGGGCTGCATAAACTAAACAGCTCATGCTTTCACATGAACATGATAGCACTTTAAGGCCGTCAAAAACCTGTTTGGACTTTACATCGCACAATCTTGCTGCTGTTACTGATGTGTGCACTCCAACACATACATTTCAGTAATTGCTATATCCCTATATATTACAGCGGTTCTTTGATGTCGTGTCACCGCCAATTGGAACACCACTCTCGGATCACTACGGGGTCAAGGTCCGATTGTACAACATCAGGAACGAAGAATGCAGTGCTCTTCAGCAATGTCGCTATAACTGTGCTTCTCAGATCAAAGATCTGTCCCCCTTTGAGCCAAACTTTAACGAAGTTTGCTTCAGCTAAGAAAAAAGTCATCCCCAACCTGTAGCTACTTTGTTACAACAATGACTCTTGTAACCTGTGTGGTATTAGTGCATGCAGAATGTGTACTGACTGTATGTGTGTATGCTGTACTTGTGCGCATGTGCAGTCTGTTGTATATAAGTGTGTCGTACGCTGTTTTTGTACTCGTATCACAAACTGGTGAACTACGGTGCGTGCTAGCGGGCTATACACGCCAGAGTTACACGTTACTACATGGTGGCAGCGGTGACAACATCTTTAGAAAATGTCGACTGATCCACCAGCCGCAGACGCACCAGCGGCAGCACCGGCGAGAGCGCAACCGGTGACGACATTGTTTCAGGTATCGATACCCGAGTCGTTCACCTTCAGCCGCCCCGGAGAGTGGCCCCGATGGATCCGCCGCTTCGAGCGATTCCGGATCGCATCAGGACTGTCGCAGAAAGAGGGAGATGTGCAAGTGAACACGCTGATTTATGCGATGGGAGACCAGGCCGACGATATTCTTCGTTCGTTCGTGCTCTCGGGGGAAAGACCAGCAAATAAAACGCAGACAGAAAAAAGACTTCGACTCTCACCGCGGAGCTAGAGAACTCCCACCATTGCAGCCTGGCGACCACGTCTGGGTCCAAGGGAGAGAGAGTGAAGCAGAGGTCGAAGGAGAGGTGGCACCTCGATCCTACCAAGTTGTGACTGGGGATGGAACATTTCGTAGAAACAGACGCGATCTAATACGTCTACCTAACCCAGACACAGCCGAGTCCTCTGAGCAGAGTGGTCAAGAGGGAACTAACGCTACCGAGTCAAGCGAACAGCCTAACGGGGGTTTGCACCTATCAGACATCTTCCTTGTTTGGTACTGAAGTACTCCCTTCCCCATTATAGTTTTATGCCACTGGGAAGTCTGTATGATTAATCTAATAAGAACCCAATCCAGAAGCAGCCCATACCTGTAATTAACCCTCGGCGCGCATGCGCAACGAGGGTTACAGTAGTCGTTACCCTCGGCACGCATGCGCAGCGAGGGTACTGTAGTTACCCTCGGTGCGCATGCGCAGCGAGGGTACTGTAGTTGGGTTTGTCTGCGTGTGTGTGTGTGTGTGTCTGTCTGTTACTCTCAATCTCACTTCTCGAATGTCTGTTCGTCTCACAAACGATACGACCTACTTAACGGGCAATGAAGGTCAGAAATTCGAACGGTTTTCTCTGAAAATGCTCCGTTGCAAAGCTAGAGTGCTTCCACATTGTATGGCTAATGCCGGTAGTCGCCATTTTATCGCTGGCGAATAATGCGCATGCGCTTATATTTAGCAAAGGACCGGGTCCGCTTGCTCCTTCTATCTTGAAGGCACAAGAAGTCACAACGAATGGCGTGTATCGACTCTCGCGTGCTATCTACTACTGTAGCTAGCCCGTGTCAGACTCTCTGCGAGCTACTCACGGGAGACCCCGAGTAAGCGCATACTATACTAATAGCCCAGCCCATCAATTTTAGGGGTACCGCACATGCGCAGTTCGCCGAGGGTTTGCACTTTAGTGCTTTTCATTGGGTCTGTCTGTGTGTCTGTACTCTTCATCTCGTTCTTTCGTCTCACAAAGGATACCACCTACCGAACGGGCAATGAAGGTCATAAATTTCCAACGGTTTTCTCTGAAAACGGTCCGTTGTAAAGCTAGAGCGCGAAAAAGCCAATATGCAAATACGAAACGGACGGGACGGCTTACCGCGGTCTGATCGATCCGCGTGCTCTGCGTACTTCGGAGACACCAGAAGATGCAACACAGGGCGTGTATCGCCTCTCGCATGCTATCTAGTAGTGTAGTTAGCCCGCGTCAGACTCTGCGCGAGCTGGGAAGAGACCACGAGTGACAGCTAAAACTAAACCCAGCCCATCAATTAGTGGTACGGCGCATGCGTTTACTTACGCGTGCGCGTCACAGTGCGCCGAGGGTTTGCACTTCAGTGCTTTTCATTCTGTCTGTCTGTTCGTCTGTCTGTCCGTCCGCGCGAGTTCTAGCACTACAGGCTACGAGGCGGCCAATGAGTGGCACCAACGGGTTGTGAACGACGAGAAGATTGATATTAATGTGGCGATTTTCCCGAAACGACTGCGTTCCAGGGATATGGCGTGAAAACAAGCGAAAAAGCCAACGCGCGGTCGATCGCGCACGCGCCCTCTCCTGCAGGCTATATAGCTATAATCTCTGGATAAACGATAAACATGCTGAGCAAGCAATAGTTCAGGTGGCGAGCAGTTTGTGGTTGCGGCCTTGCCTTCCCATCTATAAAACGTCTGACGAGAGCATTGAAACACAGAAGAGCAGATAGATTGAATAAAGCAAATATGAGAGCCTCTGAAACACCTGAGCTATTGATCTAACCGCTAATGTAACTACCCTGTGTTACGGTGAGACTCGTGTTACTGGCTCCGTCGATGACGCACGGCCCAGCATACAGCGATGCTACAACTCGCTAGTTTACCGCCGAGGGTTTGCACTTTAGTGCTTTTCATTGTGGCCATTGGTGGTTCATTTCACAGGTTGGGAGTGAAGATGGCAAAGATGGACAATAGGAATGTTCTGGGGTTCCTCCTCTTACTAGCACTCAGTGGATCTCTTGTTCTGGGAGACTGGCAGTCTCTTGGTCAAGATCCCTGTTCTATCACCAACATCACCACCATTGATGACTATGACTCTTTCCGGAGCTTTGCCTACCAGTGAAAGCACATCTTACAGTGGACATAATGCAACAGAGTAGTTCCTCTCTGCGACAGAGGGTTCCGTGATAGCTAGAGAGATGTGTGAAGCTCTGGGGAACACTGGACAAAGGTGTTTCTGGAACCCGCAGTCCAGAGTGACTGGAGTGCCTTGCAACATTTGTTTGCCAGTCTGTTTGAGTCGCGCCAAGTCTCTCTGCTTCTATATCAGTTTTCTCTCGGGGTGTTGCTCATTTCCATCGCAACTCCCCTCCTTTTTGTGTTCACTTCTGTCATATCGTCTGATATGATGCCAGTAGGATCACAGGTGAATAACAAGTATTGTATAGCTCTACCTGCTTGTGTAATAGCACCCATGCACGGAATCCTTCTTTGGGTGTAATTGATACTACTATCAGTCTATGCATGCACTTTCTAGTGTTCACTAACAGAATTGAGTATTGAACCAAGTTACATCACACGCACTGACATAGTACAGTAAAAATGGAGTTGTTTTGCTACAGTTGTGATTTGGGTCTACCTACTATAATAATATTACAGGGCACTATCTTGACTCTTGTTTTAAGCAGTGGTATATACCGTGAGTAGAGGAGTTAGTCCATATTGGTGTGAGTCCTGCTACTGCCTCGTAGATGGCGTGGTTACATTATGTGCATGATGTCATTATTACAGTGCATGTGGGTAATATAATAGACGATTAGATATCAGTGTTGTGTTCACCTTATGAATTATTCAACAGTTATTGAAAGTTACAAGTTGACTGGTAGACACACCTACTTTGCCATGGCAGTCACTTCTGCCTGTTTGTTGGTCATGCTACTGTCTCTGGTGGTACTGCACAAGGATCTGGCTCCTGCCTCTCACAGCCCAGCCATTGCCAGACACAAACATGTGGAACAGTTGTCCAGTATGTTGATGGTGCAATCTTTACACTCATACTCAATCAAATGCTAGTGCATAACCAAATACTGCTGGTATAATATACTACACTAACGTTCCTGATTCATGTTTCATATTTTCCCTGTTATCTCTAGCTCACCCCTATTATGTAATTTTGTGTCATACAAGAAAATTTTCTATTCTTTCTATGCAGAAACCAATGATGTTTCAATGGATCTTGTGAACTCTCATCATGTAGAGTACAAAACATGACTGATAGCTTATGCTGTTTAGTTTACCCATGTCATGAAACCCACTGTCACAGTCATTTGACAAAAACAAATACTAATAGCTACATATTATAGTGATGATTTTTTATTCACTGAGCACAACTTTATACATAATGTTTCACTCTTTGGAACAAAATAACATTTTAATTAATATGTCATTAAGTAGTTACTTTTCATGT